GCCCATAGGCTTCGCTATTTTTCGACGACACAAAATTAAATAGGGTTTTTCTGCCTTACTTAGTTGTATTTTATCAACATGCTAATCAAATTGTAGATATCAGCTCAAATCGAAATAGAAAAACAAATAGACAGGGTAGACATAGTTGCCGTACGTGATGATTCAGAATACAATGACTTTTACCTGTGCGTAATATGATTAACAACATTTTGCGAACAGATAATAAATGCATGTATTGCAAAGGATGACTCATAAAGTTATGCGATAATTTCATCACTGTCTTTTTATTTCGAAATACGAAAGAGCTATTCGACGACGGAGTGAGATTTTTGTGACCATCACAATGAATCAATATGTATGTCTATGTCATGCATTTAAAAAATCAATCATTGATTAAACAGACTCCACGTTCAAATATTGATTGTATGGTGATTACTAACTTTCGTAGTGATGTTGTATTTTACATGTAGCAGATACAGTCTATTTTAGTAATGGATGCAAAATGTGCGTACATTTTATTAATCAGATCCGATGATAAAAGTAAATGAATTGAGAACAAGAAGAAAAATGTGAATAAATGTGAGAAATCTTAAGATATTCTTTAAAACATCAAGATTTTAAATCAGATTGGTTATATGCATGCGAATGATTGCGAAAAAACAAGGGTCTATGGATCGATAATTGAAGCGACTGTTATGAAATCTCAAACGATCGCTTCTGAGTAATAATGTTTCTATCGAACTATCAACTAGTAATATTCAAAGTTTACAAGTTACTCAATGCAACGATTTATCAGCCGCTATTTGGGACCAACTCGTGTAAAAATTAATCTCAGAGAAACATGATGATATGAATACAATGAAAAATAATTCTCATATGCATTCAGGCGAACTAAAAAAGATACAAGCGTTTGACTCCGAATTCGACACTTACTCAACCCTTGATCTTTCACCGACGATATATAGAAATAGTAGAATCGATTGAAAAGAAGTCATTACGATTACTCAAATAAGAAAAACAACCTGCCCTCGGGGATTCAACCAATAATTTCTATAGAACGAACATTTTCAAGAATCGTATATTTTGCCCTATATTTCGATCAGTTTTCCTATTTTATCTATATACAAGTAGCGAAAGCTGAAAAATAGCTTCAATATCAGTTGTCGTCAGAAGCTGCACAATTGAGGAGGGAGTGTATCACTTCTAATAACCAAAACTTTTCAGCTTTTTCTGGTGTAAATATCATCTTTCATGCTAAAATCGAAATGTCAAACAAAGTTTGCAACAATTAAAGCGAAACATGGATGATTTTTTGTTTGTGAATATGTGAGCACATATGTTCTAATTGAACTTCATAATGATATTTGAATCCAATCTTTGCACTAACAGAAAAAGACAATAGGACAGACATCTTGAGAAAACGACAATGCTGATGTTAAGGCTCAATCAGAAAAGTTTTAGAAACGTTCTTTTTCTGTATACAAGCAATGCATTAAAAAAGCATAGGAACTTGCCAAATTTTCTGAGAAATCCTATATTTCAAAGAAATATGATCCTATTCGAATTCCAAGTCTTTTTAATGTCCTAATTCGGCGCTAGACGAATGCATATAATCAGTTTTTATTTTTAATTTTAACAGTTGTACACATTAGCAAGATCAACCAATGCAAACATAAACCAAATATATTCAATTAAAACGAAAAATATCTGATAAACACATTTATAGAGTCTTTTTAGGCAATTCGGGTCGAATTTTTTCAAAATTCGTTTTGTTTTTATCTCTTCTTAGTCATCTTGCAATGTGTAGTGATGTTTTTGTATCACTGCTAGTTGAAAGAGTTCTCTATCGACTCACAAAAGAATCATCGAAGAATATTATATTGGTAAAAATAGCTGGAGGGATCAGAATTACCTCACATGGATTTTCAATTGATTCATAGAGGTGTCCTTATTGTGAGAGTTGTATTGCAACTATCGGTTCGATCGTCAATGCATTTTCAGGTCCCATAGAGGACACTCAAGGCTACCGAATGGCAGATTTGCTTTTTTCAGGTTTGAAAAAAAATGCATCACGTGATGGGAAAAATGAGTCCAGCAATTTTTGTTGTAGTGATCCAAATTATACCAGAAAAAAATATTTTTCGATGATTCTCTCGTGAGTCGATGGAGAACACGTTGAACTAGCAATGGCAAAAAATCATCATTATACAATGCAAGATGACTGAGAAGGAACAAAAAAAATGAATTTTCAAAATTTTGATCCGAATTACTGCAAAGAGCTCTATGCAATACAGCAGAAATGGAATATAATTAGTTTACTGATATCGGAAGCGTCTGAATAATTTCTGGACTTTTCTCGTTTATGTTTTTGACGATAGAACAAAAATGAGAACAAATTCATTGATTGCTATTGATTTTAATAGTAAAGCAATAAATTTGGGTGGGTTTTTTGGAAGGTTTGTGTAATTTTTTTCAATTCCTCCGTATTAAATGAATCGTTGACAATATTTAAGGAAACTAGAGTATCAATCTGAAAAATCTCCTTCGGAAGAAATGTTAATTGATTATCTAATAAAATGAGATGATTTAGATTACGAACATAGCGAATTTCAGGTGGAATGGAATTTATACGGTTTGAATTGAAAGCAAAGGTTTTATTTGCATTTGCTTCAATACCATGAAGATTTGTTATGTTACTGTTCGACAGTAATAGATATTCAAGATCGAGCACATTATATGGTATACGATCAATTACGCAATTTCTTGCATAAAGTTGTTTCAGGTTACGAACGCCATTGAATGATTTTCTATATTTGAAATTGTCTTTGATAACGATAAAAAATTGTTACTATTCAATCGTAGAAATCCTAAAGAAGTTAAACTACCAAACGTTTTGGAAAATTATCAAGGCCGGTATTGTGCATTTCAAAGCTTGATAAATGTTTTAATTTGCTAAATTCTTCTGGTAACTGAGTTATTTTTGGATTAATAATGTAAATTCAAGCTAATGACGAAGCAAAACGCTCGATTTCAGCTGGAAATCGGTAATCAGCATCATTATCAGAAAAAATGGAATGATACGTGAATCGAATATACCAAAATACGTTAAATGTTTCAAAAAAAAAATTTAAGTGGTAACACGGTTTCATTCTTTATAACTATACTATGAATTTGATTTTCTATCAGTGCAGTGGCATGTGTTGAGTAAAAGGTGTTTTGTGGGGTCCCATGTTGCGAATACCGGATCAATTTTTGCGGTAAACCGCGGTATTTATCCGTTCTGCGGTAATGGGAGCCGGTAACCGGACCAGTAAAACCGCGGTAAACCGGCGGTTTTTTGCGCATGTTTATCACATGTAAAAGTAAAAAAAAAGGATCTTTAAAATAGTTTATTGATGATTTGGAAGACTTTTTCTGTCAAAAATTATAGATGAACCGGTTAACCGCTTTTTTTTAGCGGTAACCGCGGTATTAATCAAAACCGGCGGTTTACCGCGGTAAATGCCAGTTCATTNCGGTTAACCGCTTTTTTTAGCGGTAACCGCGGTATTAATCAAAACCGGCGGTTTACCGCGGTAAATGCCAGTTCATTTTTTGTGGTAAACCGCGGTATTTATCCGTTCTGCGGTAATGAGAGCCGGTAACCGGACCGGTAAAACCGCGGTTAACCGCCAATTTTCATGCGGTTTTTATTACATGGGATAGTGAAATACTTTTGATGAATAGAAATAATAGCATTTGTTAACGAAAAATATAATAAGATTTGTTTTCTAAATGTGTACTTTTTAAATTTATATATCGTCTGAAACAACATACTTTTCTTCTTTGGTTTTGTTTCTTATGATAAACTTTGATATTGTTGTACATGATTTGTAACAAGGTATTGTTTAACTATTATTGGAAAAGTTTATTCAATCTTATCAAATTTTAAGTTTTAGATAATCGAACACATGTGACAAATAAAAGATTTTCATGATTAGAAAAATGTTCGATATTATTCGATTCAGTTCAATATATTTTAACTTTAAGATTAATTTTAGTGTGATTTAATGAGTGGTGTCACATATCCAAAATTTTGGAGATGTCACCACATCTCCCACAGGAGATGCCGTGTCTCCCGCTGGAGAAGTGACGCCCACAGTCGGGAGATCCGGTCATTCACCACTGGAGATGTAAGATCTCCTTTAGAGATGTACATCCCCCACACCCACACCCACATCTCTCGCGCGAGATGCGGCATCTCCCGCAGGAGATGTGGTGGTATCTCCAAAATTTTGGATATGTGACACTGCTGTTATATTTATGATGATGATTCTTATGACTATAAACAATCTCACGGTTTTAATTAGCATAATGGCTCTGAATGGTTATGGTTCACTGGTTATTATTTAAGAGCAAAACTTTATTGGTCAAAAAAGTAAGATGATTGAATTATTCAAAACAAAAAATAAAACATGTTCGTAAAATGATAGTTTCACTAATCGATTTATTTATTTCAAATTCCTGGAAAGGTTTCCCCGAATTAACAAGTGCAGATTGAAAATCTTGTCCTAATTCATGTTTTATTCATTGTTGTTCTGGTACAACTATTTTAAAAGCTTTTATATTCTATTTAGAATGTAGTAATGGATTGTTTATCACATCAGCATTTTTACATTAAATGATAAAACCTTTTCTACTTGTTTAGAAGATCTCCTTATACAACATCTGACAGCTAGAGTTATCTATCGCATGAAACTTACGCTTTTCAGAAAAAAGTAATATAATTTTGAAGTGTTTTGGTCTAAAATAATTTTCGTCAGTTCTTTTTCGCGGAAAAAACATTGAAAAAAAATAACATACTTTCATTGGTGGATTTCGACACCGATTCGAATTTGCTATGACTTTTATCCCTAGCTCACACACTACTAGTAGTACCATATTAACAATACAAAACGTTGTTTGTAAGTGTCGCGTACTCGCGGTCTCATTTCTTTCTTTTGCAGTTGAACCATCATAGTATGGAGGAAGATGTCAAGAATGACTTACCAAGTTCTCCGACTTCAGTAAATTCTTTTAGTGATACCATCACATTTTTCTTATTAAGCGTATTTTCATTTTGGTTCCTTCAGTCTGAAGAAGAAATACCAATTCCGCATCCTCAAAATTCATCTTTAGATATAACAACAAGGTCTCCAACAACACTATCATCATATTCGATGTCGTATCCAGAAACTAAAGAATTAAACAGTAAGAATATTTTCATCTTGATGTTTACTTTTTTTTGCATATAACTTGACGATTGCTGTTTGCTATTCATCTTATTTCAGAGGTAATATTACCGTATCCATTACGGCTGGATTCAAACTATATCTATCGAATCGGACTAAAACCTAATGAATTTATTCATTATTGTCAATCTGATCAAATAGAGTCAATGTTTGATGATCCGATGGATCTTATCGACGATTTTATACAAGATCGTTTGAGAAAAGGTTTGGATATAGGCGTTCATCAAGAATGTTTGAATCATTTGAATTATGTCAAACAAATCTACGATGATAATGAATCATTATTATATTATGTTTATGAATATATTGAAGTACAAATTATGAAGCTGATCAATGTTCCTGGTTTTGAATCGGTACCTGATAATCAATGGTCTACAATTTTATATCCTACAGTTGACACGTCAACATTAGCATCAATTGATTATCCCTTAAATGTTTATATAAATCGGTCTGCTTTTAAGCGGCACACAAATAAAAATGTGAACGTGTTCGATTTATTAGCATCGATGCAAACAGAGGATGTTCGTAGCATCCGTTGGTATCATGGTACAGATATTGATTCACTTAAAAAAATTTGTCAGTATGGTATAAGTTTATACTCGTCTCACCGTTTTGAAACTGATTTTGGCGCCGGATTCTACGTAACAGATAATTTTGAAGGTGAAAGTCTGATTGTTGCTAATGGAGAAGTTCAAATTATTGTTCGTTTTAGACGCTGTACATATTGCAGCTTCAAAAGGAGCTCGTAATAAAGTATTAGCGGGCATTATTTGTTTTCAACTTACTGAATCTGAACTTAGTCAATTGAATATTCGAGATTTGCATGATACAATCGACAATTCTGGTGATCCATTGTCATGGTCGAATTTTGTTAAGTTATGTCGAAGTCGCTACAATGAATATCCACATAAATTTCGTTGTGACGCTTTACGTGGTCCAGTGTGCAACAATGCTGAAAAGGTTCGTTTATATGAGAATGAACGACCACGGGCAAAGATTATCAACAATAGAAAAATTACTCAAATATGCATTAAAAGTACGCTTCTCTCATCAAAATTAGAAGCTGCAATTTTTGGATTATACATTTTTAATGTTGAACCATAAAGTTTTTTTTGTAACTTTTTCCTAGAAAGTCATCTTGTATTTACTTCATTAGATGAGATATTTCAATAAAGTCATATTTAAAGGTTATACATTCTTGACTATATATTCTCTTTTTAAGTATTTTCTCATTATTAATTATCATAATGGTTCTAAATGGATATGGTTAGCTGGTCACTTTCCAAGAGCAAAACTTTATTGGTACAAAAAGCAAGATGATTAAATTATTCAAAACAAAAAATAAAACGTGTTCGTCAAATAATAGCTTCACTAATCGATTTATTTAATTCAAATTCCTGGAAAGATTTGCCAGAATTAACAAGTGCAGATAGAAAATTTTGTCCTTGAGGGTGTGGGTGTTCATCTTCCGACACCCCCACACCCTCAAGATAGTTTTGCTCCAAAAGGGCTGCGCTAAAATTTCTTTTTCATTCTATCATAGCAGACAGGTTTATTTGAGCTTAATTTTAGATGATATTAACTGAAATAAAGTGTTGCAAATATCAGTTCTACTGGAGAGTTTCAATTGAGAAGAAATATAACCATTGAGAAAGGTAATTTTTGCAAATTTATATTAAGTTGATTTTATACGACGTAAATCATCTACAATGTGATCCAAAACAAATTAAAAGAAAGTATGTATTCGGATATTCAACAAAATCACATTATCCGACACCCACACCCGATCATCAAAAATTGATATTTCTTTGTATTTTAGAAATTTCATTAGCCTAATCGCAACCGTTACCATGTTTTTCAGTTTATTGAATCAATCAAAACAAGAATACATTTATAACGAAGGAAAATAATGGGAGTGATCTTCTGAATTATCCAATGGTGAACTAATAATCAATTGGTTCACCTTAGCACAATTGCGTCGTGTTTCTTCTCTTGCAAAGTTATTTGTCACAGCTTTTAAGCAACGATAACACACTCTCAATTGGGTTAGATAAGCTACCTATGCCTTTGTCTCATTTAGAAATTGTTCAAGATAATCTTTATGGCTATAGCCCACATCAAGTGAAGTAAGGTGCAGATATTCAACCATTGTATATGATTGACTATGGTCAGATGATAATGTAAGAGGATCAACTGGTAATCGTGATTCGATATTGAAAATACGTAAATATTTCAGTAATGGAAACGATTGGGCGATTCGAACGAAGAATTCGTATCTGAATGCATCACAATCTTGGACAAGTAAACATGTAACATAGCTGAATACAATATTTGGAAATATATTGCCAACATCCTCAAGATAATCAAATGCAAAAGGCAGTGAGAAAATTGAACATGCAATTTCGTAAGTAGTAAGATTACAGATGATACTAGTCGCATTTTGTTGTCCGCTATTTACCAATGTCTGTTGGATGTTTTCACGAGATACATTATAAGATAAATCACGAGTGTCAATACTAGTATTAATATAGAAACTGAATGAATGAAGTTGTGGCATATAAACAAGAATATCATTTTGAACACAAGTGCCATCGATGATTCTATTGTGACCTTTTACACAAATTTATAAAGTTAAACTTTCCAGATAAGACATACGATGAAGAAGAGATAATATTTGATCATATTGTTGAAATCGAAAGTAAGTTTTTAATGAGAAACATTTCATCACTAACCTAAAAGGCTAAATCATGAGCATCATTACTGGCCACGGTAATAATATTTTCTACTCTACTTTGTTTTATTCGAAATAAAAAATACTGTCTGTCTAGAAGTCTAGATTCCGTTCCTGAAGTAACACCAACGTATGCGAAAAGCTGTTTTCCCGCATCGTCGAGAATGCTGATACCTGGATGTATCTCTCTTTCTATTTCGTAATAAGTCACTGTGGATTTCTGGATTCATGCCAACGGAATATTAGCTCTGATTCCACATTCCTAGTGATGAAACTCTCCATTGGTACTGAATTCTGTGTATTAAAAATCATAAATTACAAATTGATCAGTTCGACTTTGAAACTTTGAAGTATAGGAATCAGGAATTATTGAAAAATTTTAGAGAAAACTCCTATCATATATCAATTATTAGAAAGATTGGTACTATACAATAGAATTCATCCGTATTTAATCAATGGTAAAAGAACGACAGCTCGTTTTATAATTATTTCTACGATTAAATTTCAATCTTTTGATCAAATCCAAATTCTTAGTAAGTGAAAATTCAATCTCAATCACTCTAGTACTTATTCGATACTTTTCGTTGTTTCAAAGTATTTGATCCTTTAAAATAAACCAAAAAAATGCGCTGAACTAATAATTATCTGTATCTCATAAGTGGCATCATCTATGAAAATTTGCCATGTTATGAACGATTGTTGAAGATTTGTCTATAGAATAAACAGTAACATTAAATGAGGTCAATCGCTTGAGTTTACCATCAAGTAAATAAAGACAATCATCAAAAGTTGCCGCATTGATACACAAATGAGTAAGAATTGAAGAGTAAAAAGTAGTCGACGGTAAATTGCGAAGTGATAAACCTGAAACACTTGGTCCAATAATATTCAGATGTTTGAAGTTTTTGAAGAAATTCAAGATGTTAGCTTATACATTATTTGTATAATCTTTCAATGAACTTATGCTTTCGTGTATATCATTATTCAAAAGATCAGGTTTGCAAGTCGTTGTTGGGAAATAGATCGAAGTGACGATTCATCTAAAGAAAAAAAATAATGAAACTTACAATAATCTATTATATCTAACACTTCTTTTTTTTTCACTGATGAAGCGCATGTTAAGTGTTTACCTGTAAAATATTTTGAAACAATTTGTTGTTCAAAATTGAAGAGTTTACGTTCAGTTAGATTTGGATAGACGGTGGCAAGAAGAATACGTTCCATCGAAACTGGTTCAAGAAGGATATATTTGACCGTATGATGAATTCTTGGTAATATATCGATGCAGAACCGATCAATTAAAGAAATATTATTCAATTTTCTCAACACGATCAATAATACTTCATTAGGCAGATCCAGAAGATGAACATTAGATCGACTCATCTATTGTTATATTTACGACACTTTTGCCAAAGACAAACCTATATATGTTTATTGTTTTCTTCTATTCATTTCTCTCATGATAAAATAGAATAAGTGAACTCGTTCATAAAAAGTGAAAAAAAAATGTACAGTCCAATTCGATGATATGCCATCGGTTGTCGGTTTTTCCTTTCCGTCAATTTTGTATGCACAAAGAGCGACTTCTTTGTGTTCATGGGAACGGAAATTGAAGAGTGGCATTCAGAAAAAGAAGGAATATGTTGTTTTCTTTTTTATATGAGAGTCAATTGAATTTCACTCAAATAAGATCTGTTTTACAGTGGATATTTTTGCAGCTTAGTTAAAAAAAATAATTTATTGAGATAAAGTGTAAATGCAACAATTATTTCTTCCCTTGTGTCTCTTTCTGGCCAGTCAATGTTTGTATAATGTACTAGTCTAGCATTAGTCTTCTTTAGTTTGAATAACTGATAAGATGTTATGTCAAACTTGTGTTGAAAACTCTCTAGTTTAAGGTTGATTATCAATCGATTTCATTTTCAATAGTGTTTCGTTAGTCGATCAGGATTATTCAACATAAAATTATAATAAAACAAACACTTACTTTTGACGATTCTTGTTATTAATTCATTTTCAACAATAAAATATACAACTAGGAACATTGAAAACGAATATGCTATGCTGGCACAAAAAAATATTGCTATGCATTTTTTCATTGTATTGAAAGAACAGCAAATTCCAATTGAAAACATATTAACATAACAATCTGTAACAATACAAGGGCGATTAACCTTGTGTGCGCTTTTCTATTATGCTCAATGGCAAAATAAAAATAAATTAATAGTGCAGTCGATGACAGCAGTCAGAGTGAATTTTTTATTTCCATTTTTTCTATTGCATGAAAGACGTACGGACTTGATTCAGATGGCAATATACTTAGTACGAAATGGGCTATATATGGAGTATTAGTTTCAGAGAGCGTGGATGAGTATAAGGAGAAGGAGAATCGATCACCACCACACCCAAATATGAATAGAAAAATACAATTTTGATATTTTACGAACAATTTATCGATTAAAGGTCTCTTTGTTCGCTGTTCCGCAGGGATCATTTGGGTTTGTCAAATCATTTGAGAATTCACATTCATATTGTTTCATTATGATTTTTCGACTCTTTTGCATAGCAGCCACTTGTACGATACCAATCCAAAATGGATCATCCTTCGATGAATGCGCAATATACATTAGAAAATAAGCAAAATGAACACTTGTACGAAGCAACAGTATTAGGCTTTCCTTCATATTAGTTCGATTATAGCGTGAACACCTTTCTGAATATGTGTAGTCTAGTTTATAATCGATTTTTATATGCTCTTCGGAATCACATCACGTTTGCATATGCACCAAATAGTAGTTACACGATAAAGAACGCCTAGGCTAAGCTCGATCGATATGTTCGGTGTGTTCACATCCCATACGATTGAATTTCGAAGAATATTTCGCATTGCTTCTAGGATTGGACAGATCATATGGCTGATTATGAGTTGATCTTGTTTAATGGATTGTTGTTCAACTTGTATGTCATGCGCGTTGAGTTTTTCACAAGCGTAGCTAAGAAAATTCTTTGATTCTCTAACTGATGTCGACCAACTATTCTCATATTTATAGTATTCCTCTTCGTTGAATTCACTTTTATTTTGTCTGAGCAATCAAATATCGAAACAGAATGTGTTCTGTTTTCTAAACGAAATATTAACAAGTGAAATTGATTTGAGCGTGGCTTTAAGTTATGGAGATGCATCACCTGGTGCCTAAAAAGTGGATCGAGCAGTTGAGTAAGACATGTTTTGACAAAGTTGTGAATTGGCTATGCATTTGGCTTAAAAAGGAAACATACAGCATTCAAATGTGTCAGATCATTGATATATTCTAATATGTGTTGCATGTTAATATCATCTCGATAAATATCTTGTGTATCACCAACGCCAGATGTATCAATGATGCGTATTTTCTTTTCATTAATATGCTTCAGATGAAATAAATAAGATTTACAGTGTTGTGTTACTGATTCACCTGAATGATTGGCATTTTCATTGTTTGAATTATCTGAATCGCCGAATTTTATTATGTGCTCGTCAAAATTGTCACCAGTTGTCATGATAAATGAGACAGGTTTGAGTACAACAGGTTCACTTTGTTCAGCTTTTGCAAGTGTCCCGAATGTAAGATAATTGACAAATGCGTTTGTAAATGTCGATTTACCTACACCGCTTCTGTCAAGAAGAAGAATATTAATGATTTCATTTGCGGATGCTGTAGATGAATCAGAAGTAGTTGTTTTTGTGCACGATGCGGTTGAACATGCGGTAATTTTGTTTGTATTGTTCATCCACTCTTGTTGCGTTCTATTGACTTTATTTGGTTCAAGAACTGCCGAATAATCTCCTTGAACATTGTTTGGCCTTTGCGCTTCACTGCTCGATCAATCTCATTCGCATCATTCTGCCCCATGCGAATTTTCGTAATCAACGTTGCTAATTGTTGCATTTCGTTTTCATACTCTTTCTGTACAAGTTTTGCCATTCTTCTTCTGCTTCTACCAATACTTTGTTGAGATATTCAGGAAGTGTCTTTTTAGCATATAATTCTAGCAAATATTTTGCTTCATTATAGCAGGTTAAGATTTCTATTAAATACTATTCAAGTCTAATGAAGTATATGGCGGACACGATTCATCAGCATTAGAAATAAACCATTCAATGGGTCGTAGTGCTCACTGGTAAATGTCTACTAACGACATCCAATCAAAATAGTCATATCATTTTCATCATTGATATCGTCGCTGGATCGATCAACTTGTTTGTATTCGGGCCTTGGCCAATAAAGTAACAGTTTACTATGATCATTTCTCCTTTTAAGATGTTTCATTCTATGTCAATAGGCTGATGAATGAAAGATTCAAGTTAGAACTAGAAGAAGGCAGAAAATACAACGAGACTGGTATCAGGAATCGATTCAGAACGTTAAGCAAAAAATTTATTGGAGCTCATGGTTGTAGTGTTATCATTAACATGTTTTTTGTACTCTCGGTCATTATGTATCCATTTCTTTTGCCTCCGATCAGCCTGTAAAATGTCACTAAAGATTGTTTTTACATATTGATGATTGAATATGTTATATACTCAAATATCTCAATTCCTTATACACAGTGTGATTTTATATTTTCTAAATATTTATATAGTGTAGCTGATCCTTTATTTTATCTGAATAAAAGCCATCATCAACTCATACATTTTTCATGACTTTTCAAAACACTATGATCTACGTCAATAAGTAGATTCCATCAAACAGAGGACTATCGCCTAGTCATTTTGTACGACTGATAATGATAATTTAAATAATCGAATAGGATCAAGGTAAATAGAGTGAACCAAAGCTTGATATAATCAAATGAAATCAATATTTACGCGTTACAGGCTTCATTTTGGGATGCTGCTTCTGGTGTTCGCGCTGTTCAGGAATAGATAAAACATTGTAACACTCTGGTCTCGATCCTTTTATGTATCGATACTCTTTGATTTAGATCATCAATCTTACGTTCATTGCATTATCAAGAATAGTTTTTGGATTCGAATTATTCATCTTTTCTTTTATAGGGTTTGAATGACGTATATACCTTTGCCGATAGTTTCTTTTTTTTTATGTAAACAACTATTCGAAATAAATAAAAGGATGGTCAATCATTATTTCTTAGTTATCTACCATTCTCAGATAAGCCAATGAGAAAATAGTCAACTACAAATAAGTTTTTCAAACTTTCATATCAATTATGTAAGATTTTCAAACCAAGATCAAACTGTTTTTTATGGCTGCATGTGATTTGTTTTTTCAAGAAACGAATTTCAATCGTAGCGACACACAGAATAAGCAACAGAACGAGTGAAAGTGACGTCTTGGTGAGTGAGTAATAATGTTCTCTTATACACCTAGTGTAGTGAATCATGCGTCAGTAACGACAAAAAAAATACCCATAATATATTCCTTCACTAGTCTGCTGTTTCTTTCATTAATCGGCAAACTACATCATAAAATGAATCTTCGAAAAGTTTTACATCACCTACTCGCTTATCTTCTGCTTGTCTTTACTTTTATTGGTACTCTCGTCTATTCTGAAAATGTCACGTCAACCTATACAGTCAATAAAGATTTCTTCAATGTTATGAAAGCTCCCCAATTCTCCATTTACGATGCAAGCGAACAACAATTACACTATCGAATTCAATCTAAATTTTCTCTATGGCACATTATCGAAATTATTTCCTATCCATCGAACGAAGTAATTGCGAAGCTTCGAAGCCAATGGTTTATTTGGTTGTACGCAGCAAATATTTCAATTTTCGACTCACCATCAAATCAATGGATCAATGGAAGCATTCACAAAAATCTAGCATTCTTCGGAGATAAATATACTATAGTATGGAATGGAAAAGTTATTGTGATGGAAACAAAGTTTGCTTCGCTTATTACTGAATTTCATGATCAACAACAAGGAAATCTATCGGCAGAATTTCGTAAACGTTGGATTTCTTTTGTCTGGTCAGACAAGTATTATTTAGAAATATTTTCGAAAGAAATACCTGATACACTATATATGTTAGCATTGGCAGCCAAAGATTATACTGATTCTCAAGCAAAAAAACATTCTGAATCTAAAGGAACATCGAGAAACTGAAGATTGCGGGACAAATAGACTTTGTTCTGGTAATTGTTTTTATTTTTACAGGTGCATTTTTAAGAATAAATCTTGTTCTATTTTACAAATATTATTGTACATGAATAAAACATTTGCGATTCGATTTCATTGGCGACTGTGGATAAGTATTGAGAAATAAATAATAAAATAATGCTTCAAAAATTAGTAGAATATTCGATTATCATCTGAGAAAAATATCCACTCATTCACGTCGTCACTTGAGCTCAAAGATGGTAGGCAATATTTTTCAAATATAAATCGCGTTTTTTTCATTGAAAACTACTACACAAAAGTGTTTAGTGAAATATCAATCTAGGCGAGTATAATAAAGAAAATTTACTAGTGAAAATACTCTTCCATTTCTTCACGGGTTGGCACGATTGCATACTTGGAGTTGGAGGGCAGCTGGCATGTATCTGTGCCCATTACTCGATGCATGTGTAAAAGAAAAGAACATTAATTAATTACCACACTTACCCTAAAAGCTACAAATGATTTCATGTCTACGACCTTAAACCATTTCCGCCTAATTCGATTATAGGCATACTCTGTAAAATCAGTCGTTATCTAATAGCACAGAAAAGTGCAACAGAATGACGATATCATTCAATCGTTAGAGTCTTCAAAAGCATTAACTATTTGCGACTTATGAGAACTGAGATTTATTTTGAATTAAGAAGGGTGCGACATTTATTTAAAAAGTATCGTACTCTTGAGACAAAGGAATATTATCGAATCTTTTTATATTTCGGAAGTTTTCAGTATTCTTCCAATGCTTAGGATTTAAAAATGAAATGAGTACAGTTTCTACTGTCCTGATTCGTCACGCGAATTGTTCGTGTGGGATTTCAGATCATATAGGGTTCCTTCGTTGATGGTTTAGTTGATGCAAGTGCTACCCGGTTATTAAATGGAGGTAGTTCCATGCCTGCTATTGAGAAAGACCTTGGGCAGCTCTTGTATTGTTCATAACTTTTACCGCAACAGCAACAACAAAAATACTTCCAGAAATCACGTAAACATGCCCATGGGTAGTACGTATACTTTCCACAAACAATATGGCAGCAACAATAACACAATTTGCAGCAACAAAGCTTTTTTAAGAGCCATTTTGGACAATGACATCGGTTTTGATCTTGAAATGCGTAGCATGAGCAACCACCATCTGCACCTTTTAAAAAGCATGCGCGCCAGACTGCCCAAAGCCAGCCAATCGTCATCATCGAAACGGCAACCGCGAAAGCGGTAACCGCAAGTTGGGATGGTCGGGCATCCCAAGTATACCAAAGCATCCATGCCAACCCGCCGAAACCGCTTAGCGGTATGACAATGCAGAAACAACTTAACCAATTGTGCTTTTTATTGTATGAAAGGTAATAAACTAAAGGAACAATGCACGAGATTATGCCGAGCAGGCCACCGCATGTACCGAGCGTGTCAAGTACATCTTGAGCAGTTTGGTCTTGATAAACCCATGCTACACACCATACATAATCATTGTAGTTAGAAATATTGACATAATTTCCGTCAATGCAACTGTATGGTAAAACATCGTAATTTCCCTGTGTAGTGAAGCAGTCAGCATCAAATGTAGGACATTTACGACCATTTTTTACAGTCTGATTGGATAAGATTAAATTTGTGAAAATGATTGACACAAAAACGGCTAGAATAGCAGCAGTTAAAAGATCGCTTAATACGCGTATGAAACATTTTAATTGAGGCACAACATCGTCGCCGTTCTCAAAATCGATGTAGAGATACTTCTCCAAGGGTTGTTTATCTGGTTCAACTTTTTCTTCTCTCACAATAAGATTGAATTTACTTTTACATTGTGTACAGTTGCCTGACTCTGGCAGGATATCTATGTTTGGGTTGCTTTTCACGGGAGCGCTGAAGACTTTTTTACAAGTGGCACAGTAACCTAAATGTTTCGAGTCGACATCACTTGAATTCTTCGATTGATCTTCTTTTGCAGAAGAAGTGAGCGTTGATCCACAATAAACGCAATGCGGTGGCTTCGGCGGGTCATCCGTTGTCTTATCTATTCCAAGAATCAGACCAAGAATAAACCAGTTACTACGTTTATTGATGATGCTGATGAGAATGAATAACACCGCGAAAGAACCAAACGGGACACCATAAGATAATGCCGTATAGTTTGATCTGGTTGGCTCCATAATCCAAAGATCTTAGGAAGGTGCAACTGGTAGTTGATATTTCTTATTCTTTCAATAGAAATCAAAAATTAATCAACAGCTTATACCTGAAACATAGTGAGAACACTGTAAGTCTTGCTGAAAAATATTATTTTTCTGTTTTTCTAAAGCATAGACAAATTATCGGATAAAAAGCTGCCGGTAGAAAGCTATCAATAGTTCTTTACAAAATAATATTTTGACTCTTTGAAAATAACCATAGTCGTATTCATAGACTTTTTATTGTGATTCAAGAGTATCTCGGTACAGTTGACGTATGAAAGGATGTTTGAAAGAACTAAAATAATCAATGGCTAAAGAACTGGCCGCCTATGAAGAAATGCGCTGACAGATATACAATGATATTATATTATATAGAAAATTAGTCGCCTGTGAAGTATTATATAAAAAAAAGAGACAGAATCACAACTTGGTCTTATCCCTATCATTTTTTTGTAGAAAATACGTTCCAATGTTCAATGTTAAAAAGCTTAAATATTGGTTAAGATACCTCTCTAGTATGTTCTTATCTTGGAAATTTCTAGAATAGAAATGGATGGGCGAACTTCTGACATAGCTGGGTGTGTTTTTTTTGTTACTGAATGAGAATAACACTAGGAGTCCTCGGTGAGTTTCAGACTCATAATGAATAATGCATTATGTTTTGGAGAAAAAAGTATTATCGAAAAACTTCAAGGCAATTATTTTAAAATCATATATACCGTGATTGTAGAAGAGAATGCCTTGCTTGTTCTAAAAAAGTGTTTTATTTAAAGTATTTTTACTTGTAGGCAAGCAGGTCGTCGCGTAGAAGATTGGTCGATGTTGAAATCAGAAGAAAAACATCACACAAAAGCTCATCTGACAATCAATAGCTGCCTCTATATAGTATGCCTAAAGTTTCATGACATATTGTTCTTTTAGAAAAGTTCCCATAACGAGAAATAAGTGTTGCGAAAAATCACAGAATGAGAAAATGAGATCTCTTGTTTGTTTGTATTTTTCATTTTTATATTTACAATCGAATTGCTTGAAGAAATAATGTGTCCGTGTGAAATTGTCGTAGCCAATCAGTGTAAAGAAAGTCAAAAAGCAGTTTTCACCGAAGAGCATACTCAATAATATTTTTTGTTTGAGTCCTTCAAATGTTACATCAAATTTGAAAACTACTCATTTCGTGTTTCTTTTTAGCAAATGCGTCGCAGATGCGCTTAATTGGGAAATTTTGATCATAATTGCGCGTAACTGTGGCGTATTGATTGTAATCAAATATCTGTGAAAAACTACCGTTAATTTGCCGTAGTTTCGAATCGTGTGATTCAGTCTATTCAATAGTTACCAACTAAAAGAAATTCTTCGTTAATCACAATTGGTTATATCAGAGCGTTTAAATTTAGCCACAGAGGTTGTTCATAAATAATTTAATTTTACCACAACAAACATTTCATATTTTCCCATGTGTTTCATTACGATGAAACTGTGGCGCAGTTACGGCGTAACTGCGATCGCACTGTGACCCGTAATTGCGGAAAATTGCGCCGTAACTACGCGTAACTGCGATGAAGAAATCGCAATTNGAATTATTGGAATATTAGAATTATCGGAATTTTAGAACTATCGGAATTATCAGAATTATAGGAGTATTAGAATGATCAGAATATGCGAACTATCGAAATATTAGAAGCTTTAGTATCATACTGTACAGATGTTCTATATGACTCTGAATAAGTCCGCATAAAGTGATATGAAAGAACAGCCCATGTCGTCTATAACGAGTGTGGGTGTGGGTACTACTCTTAAATTCTGAGAGTTCTAAAGTTCTGATTATTCCATAATTCTAAAATTCAGATGATTCTATGATTCTGATTTTTCTAAAATTCTGATTATTCTAAAATTGCAGTAATTCCAACAATTCTGATAATTCTAAAATTCCAATATTCCAATAATTCTGATAATTCTAAAATTCCAATAATTCCAGAATTCCAAAATCCTATAATTCTAATAATTCTAATAATTCCTAAATTCTGATAATTTCCATAATTCTAATAATTCTGAAATTCCATTAGTTCCAAAACTTCCAGTTGGTTTAAAGCTGTGAACGGCAATACAATTCATAAAAATGGATTTTTATTATGCCATTAATTTCGGAATTCTATGAGAATTCTAGAATTTTGGAATAATGACAGGACTCTTCTGTTCTTAGAGATATAGGAAGTTATTGTGCCAAATCCTGTGTTCAGTTTCCCTTCGTGATACCTACACCCAATCTTAATAGAATTCGAATATATCCCAAGTCAATGATTCCGGAGGACGGATCCCGCAGGAACTGACAGGAAAGATGCGAAAAGATCACCGTATCTGGCCGGAAAGCGCAGGAAACTGACCGGAATCCATAGGAAAAAATCCGGTAATTTCCGGTCGGAATACTACTTCCACTTTCCACCGATTTCTCGTGCTTTCCGGCTGTTTCCCACCGTACATCTACGATCTGGGTAAATTAGCCTATAAAAACAAAATTGAACAAGAAATTTGAAAAGAATGATACTATCAATTGTTCGAATTCTGATATTTTGAAAATATCTTTTTCTTCCAATCCCGAATTAGGGAAATAATATCCAAAATAGATTTCTATTTTATCCTCAATCATACCCGTCAAAAAATTTTGTTGCTACTCCTAATTGTTTTCATCAACTTGGCAGCGGCCTATTTAGTTCGTATCAACGCTTTGTTTTAGGAAAAACAAAAGAGTGAAAATCATATTAGATGCTCTTGATGGTAAGTTTTAAACCAAAACTGATAAGACAATACATATGGCTACTTTCCTATTGAGTGTTAATAGATCTTTCGTGATAATAGGGGATTTTTAGAATGTGGAATGAACATTTTGATAAGGATAATGGTGTTTTATTAATAAAGATGGTAACTGGCGATGAAGATAATAAACAGCAACTGAACTGGTTAGAGAGAGAGAGAGAAAGGAAAACAAGGCGGCCAATGACCGATAGATCAAAGAGGATTAATATGATTGATATATCACAGTCACCAGTTTAGTGCCAATGAGCGCGATCTATTGATGCTAACAAAATTGATATAAAAAAAATTAAAATCTCACGTTGATCAACATTTACATTCCAAAATTCTTGAAAATTTGGTATTATTGTTTATCAATGCCAACTTTTCACATTAACATGTAAATTGTGTCTTAGATGAGAACGACGAAATATTAGCGGACGCCAGGGTTTTCACAACTAAGAGTTACGTAGTATCTAGTATGTTATACTGAAATTCGAATTTCCGGAATATAATTTCTCAGAACATGTTGTATTCCTGTTCTGTATTGATTTGCAACAATTTCGAAAACTTCAAACGACTTTACTATTATTTTTCGTCAATCTCATGTTCAATTGTATTTAAGAATTTCAGTAGATTTCTAGTTTAATCACATATGTATAAATATATATATATTTATATACATTGCCAATGGAGAAGTTCAATCTATGTAATATATATATATATATATTAATGTGCACACAAAAAATAATCTCTGTTAATAATATTCTGCTATGACGAAGAAAACGAAAAGATAAAGGATATAAAACACAATAAACAAACACATGCATATCTATAAATTGAGAATTTAAAAGAACACAAGTACATTTTTTATAAAAATGACTGCATAAAACAAAAGCTCAAACAGTTGCTTCTTCACTTATATGAATGCCAGCTGTTTGCGGTGTATAAATATGACGTTGGGTAGATACACGATGCCATATTTGAGACTAAATTACTAAATAAAAGCAATGTTTTGACTTATTTTCAAATACATACTGGATGAGATTTTTCGCGAATCTGTTGTCGATAAGCTAAATAAATCAAAAGTTAGTAAATAAACACGTGCAGCAACAAAACAAAATCCGGCTTCTTTACCATCTTGATCATCGCTGTCATAGGGTAGACGAGCTGCATCAGCTGACGACATACTATCCTATAAAATACGAGAGAGAAAGCGTTGGCTTTTATAAATTTCTATTATCGAAGCTGTTATTTTTACCAGTCCTTCATCAGATTCATCTCCGTGATACATTTGTTGTGAATTTGATGAATAGTTTTGCATAGTTGAACTTGTTATATCTCCGCTGCTATTTAAACTGTCATCGCTTCGAGCATTCATATGCCTAAATCAATAGTAAAAATGATTATTCCATACTAATATAAGAAAAAAATCGCATACCGATTTATCAGTTTATTTTCACGAGGTATATCTTGACTAAAAAAAAGAAACGGAAGATACGAAAAAATCATTCTAATATTCAAATGAATTCTTTTGACATACTGAATTGGTGAACGTGCATTTAATGAACGTTGCCGACTGTCAGCACTATCCATTGATTTTCCTAAATTTACTAATTTTTTACTAGGTTTTATTTTAATTGAATCAGATTTTATTGATTGACGAGGGCCATCCGGCGTACTATTACTTCTACTGAAGATTTTTTTCATTGATGATAAATAACGTTTTCGTGTTGAATTCGATAATAGGGTCGAACGACGATGACTTGGTTGTTTTTGTTCATCACATAGAGTTTCAAAGGATTTGTCCGATAGATTTTCGCATAAATTCTTCAGAAAGGAACAACGTGTACGTTCTTGCAGTAAAGCAAATGTTCGACAACGATACGCAGCATATTCAGCATTGATTAATTTTGACAAAATAAACGGTTTCAATTGTTCAGCTGTACGAATATACACAACATTTTTTTGAAGATTAGGTGGGAATTCTTGAATATCTTCCCGAGCGATAAACATTATCTAAATAACACATATTTCAATTGATTATGTTTGTTAGATTAAGAATTGCTATTTAGCAAGAAAAGTTCATTTTTATCAGTTCGATCTTCCTAACAGAGCGACGTTTCAATTTTCAATGGCTCGCAAGAAATTTGTTTTAAAATATAAAAAAATCATTTTAAGACTACTGGTGATGGCTTTTGCTGCAATAAAATATCTCGCAAAACTTGAAGCATTACAATTTCAGTCCAAAGCACACGTAAAAGAAACAATTCGGTTAACTACAGAATGTCTTCATTTATAAAGTAATATCGTAAAGTTACTCTTCAAATATTCAATATCTGTAAATTTACAAAAAACTCTCCTAATTTATATCGATGTATGTTTTTAAATGACTTAATCTTCATGCAAGGTTCTCTAGTTTCATCTGTCTAATCACGCGATTAGAAATGTCATTCTCGTTGTTAGACTACACAAAATCCCTGCGTATTACATTTCACCGTACAAAAAAAAACTTACTTTATAGCATGGTCTTGAAAGTATTTGTGCCGGTTGTATGACAAGAAATGCATGTAAAAAGTTTGATTTAATCATACTAGGGTGAAATGGTGTATTTTCTTCTTGAAAAACAATAGTGACAATATCATTGCCAATATGACGTTTACGTTGAATTTGTGTTGTATCATTATTTGTATATGGTAATAATGTGCTAACATGAAACATAATTTCTTTTTGGTCATAACATTCGTAATAGGATACGGGCGAATCAGTTTGTTCGCTTACATCCAGACCACCTCGGTAGCTAAAATGATCATTTTTTTAAAAAAACATCAAAATTCAAAAAAAATCAAATACCCTTTAAAGTTTTTCAGTGAAACTTTCGATGCAATTATGTCAAGAAATTCGTCAAAAGATCGATTATGAGTTTGATTATTAAAGAATTCTTCTTCGGTGGTCTAAAATAAAATTCACATCGTAAAAAACAATTTTATCTTTTGGGTTTTTATTTAATTGCTGCGAAATCTTTTTGTTTATCGGTTCTATGAGTAAAACCAAAAGTAGACATCGACTTTCGGGTTATGCGATTTAGTTTAAAAACCCACCGAACAAAAGTAAACTCTTTTCTAAAGAATCAAAGTTCAATGAACGATATGTGTTTTGTCTGAAGTATTGTATAAACAAATAAATAAACTATTGAAATAATCTTACTTGTCCTCTTCTTTGATAAATAACGCCGAATTTGAATTTTTGAGTTTCTAATTTTTCGTCGTATGATTTAATAGAATCTTGTGCTTTGAGATTTGTACAATTTTCGAAATAATCAATATGTAAATTCGGATAAACTTCTTTTGATAAATTAACGTAATCCGTTGAATTAGTGGTGTGCTCAATGAAAACCATACATTTCGAGCCTTCTTTTGTACGCACAATAACTTTCAAATGTTGATCATAAGGTTTTACTGACATAACGACTGGACTGGACTCATTATCGATGGCATATAAGTTAACATGATACTAAATTAGACAGATAAAAATTTACATTTATCGTCTTTTAGTTCGATTTCAATTTACTTGATCGTAAAAATCATTTAAATAAATTGAAGAAATATTCTCAGATATCAAACAGCATTCGCTAGGAAGAATTTTTGTTTGAATACTCCATTGTGATGGTTCGCCGTAACCTCCTTCAATACGATAACGATCATTAAACCGTATTTTTTCATTATCAGGGAAACAATAAATCATTGGAAAAACACCACCGGGTGTTGATGTTAACATCTGATTATTTATCGAAGAAAAAACGTATTTTATCGAAAAATCACAAGAAAAAAAGCATACTTCTTTTGTACGATATTGAACTTCTTGTTCAATTTCTTCATTGTTAGGTGATTGTAATTCATTATTTGCATTATCCTGTACGGAATATGTTGAACGTGTTGATACTCTATAGCCGAATGCATCCTGAAATAAAAAATCAATTCTGTCAAATAATTCACACAGATTATCATTCAATCCTTTCTTAATGAGAGACGTACGTACTACATATTAATCTCTAGATTAACAAATAGGAATAAAGCTAAACGTACCTTGCAATAATCTTTGTCATTTATGATCGTGCAACATTAACATCTCATTTGTTTTCATACTATTTAGTTGCATAACTTTTATGCATTGTTCATCGATGATATGCACCATCTGGCTGCTTTTATTGCGGTTCATGCTGCGTCTTTTCTTTAACAAACATTTTCTTTGCATATTGCATCTATGTTTTGATCTTATCTCACACTTATCGTTGTCATTTAGAAAACAAAACATCTCCGCTAGCAATTAACAATTTGTTAGAATCGTCCTAGAGATAGTTCATAATTATGGTGAACTTTTCAGGTTAGAAAATATCTCAAAAGGTCAAAATACATTCGGTATCAAATACATGTCATATCGACTCTCGATAGAGAGAGATACATAAAAGGTAATAATAGTAAATATAGAAAAAAAACAAAAATCTGTGCATTTTCACACAATAATAGCGTTGCCACTTCGCACGCAAGCAATTATTTAATTAATAGAAGAAAAATGATTTTCGAAAAATAAAAATTCTATACCTGTCTTCGTTCTAAAGAAGCTTGACTATTATGGCTGCTTCCAAGATTCAACGATAATCGATTCGGTTTTTCTTTGTTGTTGAATGCTTGATTTATTTGTTGAGTTGTTGAATATCTGACATGTGGTGATATATCACTAAACGATGGTATAGTATAAGCATTACGTCTAATGTCCATAGGTAAATCCAGTGAAAAACTTCGCGACAATTGCTGTTGAATATTTTCTGTATTTCCAAAATACCTACGAAAAAAAAAAGAAATAAATCATAAACTTAATATACAGAATCAATAGCGAAGTAATTATATATCGTATGAATAGAAGTAGGTGGAATAAGTAAAAGCGAAGGAGAGCGAGCAAAAAAGCCACGCCAGCTTGCGATGAAGAAAAAAAAACATACTTCGGAAGATTGAGTGACATGTTTGAACTGAAGTATGAAAAAAAAATTCAATAATATCAGGAGAAAATAAAACGATTTGAGTAAACTTACATTGTTGCTATGCCGTAAGGTCTATCCTCGGCATCGTAATAATATTGTTCGTCACGCTGATGACATGAAAAATGTGTATCAACACAAATGTGTTCTCCTTGATAATCTCGACTAGAAAAAAAAAAGTAAAATCCAATCAAATTTTTTTTCTTTCTCAAAGTAAATATTTTTGCCTACCGATTTAAATAATCATCATTGTACAATTGTTTGGTTGTTAAATGCGTAGTTGGAAAGGAATCTGATTTTTCAAGAAATGGACTATCATGTTGAATAATTGTTTTATTATTATCTTCTGTTTCATCCTTATAAAACTCGGCACTTAATTGTTTAAATTTTGGTTTATCTTCTTCATTATTATTTGCGATTGAAAATTGATTCTCTTCTTCGCTCCAACCATTAAAAATATCATAAATTCTCGCGCACCAAGTCATTTTTGAAAAAGAAAATTGATTACATCTAGAGTATTTAAAAAAAAGAACGAAAATCAAAATAGTGAGCCATTCGTTGTAACAGCTGGAGAAGAACTGTACACTTATGCAAGGCCGTGCGGTTCTACTATTAGTGCTGCATAGACTATTAGTTTCGATTTTTTTTTCTTTAGTACTCGGTACCTTAGTGCTTGTTAAAAAAAGAAACAAAAAGAAATGCGGAATAAGTCAACGATGACTGATTGTCCGTCTAGAAAACAGGAAGAACACATACGCATATGCACTGTTTAATTTGAACGAATGAACCGTTTCTCTCTAAACCTTGTTCATTGGCTTAATGTAAACAAAAGTATGTACAATCTTCTATTCATTGAACAAAAAATGACCACTTTCATTATTCTCTCTATATGATATTTACTCGATTATAAACATATATGCGTTCAATACAAATACTCTTCGTATTGAAAAGATCAAGTTGACAATAGAAGAGAGAAAAATGTTCAACACATTTAGTTAGATGAGATTTTGCAAATGTATATAACAACAGGTAAACAAAACCTTCAAGACTATATTTATACATTTAGTGTCGATAGAGGAAAAAAACACGATGACAACCTTTGATTCAATTCAATTCATCATATGATGACTATAAAAGTAAAATGTAATACATACATCACTATAACTGTTATTCTCAAACGAATATTTATGACCCTTTTACCCTTTATAAATAGAATCCAGCCACTTCTCTGTTACTATTCACATCTTATCCGATTTTCTCGCTTCTTAAACACAAACGAGCACTTAATATTATACTCAAATAAGGTAGAAATGGAAATTTCAATTCAACTTATACTTACAGTACCATCAGCATATGCATGAACTAATCTTTTCAATATATATATATATATATTTAACAAAAAAGAGAAACATTTGTATAGAATAAAGTCGTCCAATGTAGAGAGATTCTTTTAATTCGCTAATCTACACTTAGATAGTATTGTTCACGGGAGTATCTGTGATTATTCAAGTGTTGATGGGCGACGGCTGGCAATCCAATGTAGTTACACAATCGTTTCGATTCATACGACAGTTAGAAAGTGACGAAGAGGAGCAAACAATACATATGCTGACCTCGGCAACACGCAATTGATTTCTCAAAAGAGAAAAAAAATGAGAGAAAAAAAACGGAAACAAGTTGTCGCAAGAGAAGAAAAAAAGAGAATTGGGTCAGTCAATATGTAAGAAAAAGGAAAGAAGAAGAATACAAAAAAAAGAATACTTTCGATTATGATGAATTTTTCTTTCTTTTATCGGCAGTATAGATCAAGGTTGACAAAATTTTGATTATTTTGTGGTTTTCTAATATCTTTTAACGATGATCTTAACGATTTTTGGATGTAAATGTTATTTTTGTAACACGAACGAATGACATTTTCGTTCTGTCGTTTTTACTTTTTTTCAAGAACTTTTCTTGTTTTTGCACATACATTTCTAGTAGATTGTTGAAAAAGAAAAAAATAACATCACACATTCCGATTTCAGATTACTCAACTCAGGAGTAAAGGAAACATAAATTATGATCGTCTCAGTTGAATTTATTTTACTATGTTTTCTACTTCCTCTATGACTGTGACAAGTAATTAATATTACTGATATTCGATAAAAATGACATGCATTACATACAGTGATTATGTAAAAAAAACAACATAATTCCGAAACGACGACCGGATACATACGCTTGATTGACCATCGATAATTGGGCAACACTCTTCTATTCTCTCTCACCTTTATTTTATCAATAGACATAGACATGCATTTGTATGTGATAATTGGTCATATAGACTAGGACTACTCAATCCTATTCATTAATTGAAAGTAATGGTGAATAAAACAATAATATTACATCGGTTGACGAGACAAGTATTGGGCGGCGGTGGTGATGATGATGATGATGATGATGTGTCAATAAAAATAAAGTATGCGAAGAGAAGAAGAAGAAGAAGAAAAAAATAACAATGCATTTGTATGAATAAATAAAATGTGGAAAAAAAGAGAGAAAAAAGTCAGGTGAAATAGTAATAATAACAAAACAAGATGAAATTTTAACGATGCCGATAACGAAATGCAACTGTTTTTTTTTAACCAATTTCAAGTAGTTAAAATTGAAGAGTTTTCGTCCTATTGGAAGAACAAATATGCGGAGCACAATGAAATGGTTTCTTGTTTTTGTACGCTTTGTTTTTATTATCACAATTTACTTTCATATACATATATGAAAGAAACAAATCAAATCGAAGAACAGTATGTAATAACATATAATTTAAAATTCCGATGTAACGGACAAGAAAAGCAATATCTTGATCAAATTCAAGTTCATATATACGTATATCAATGTGCAATGCATTTGTACGTCATATCTCAAGAGTGTATGAGGCGAAATAACAAAAAGAATGTGATTCTGATTTGTATTATTACGCGAAGTTTCTATCGGTTCACTTAGAATTTATTATCCGTTGATGATCAAAACCACGATTAGTGGTATAACGTGACGCAGACTTAACACTCCGTTCTTCGCCGCAAAGCAATGATACACGCAAGCTTGTGTCCCGCAGACGAATCTCTGAAGGCATTGTCAAAATATTAAGTCTCCTTCGAAAATTTTTGTTATGACTATGCTGCTAAACGTCCCTAAAGGATATCAATAGTGTTGATCACAATATTTATTATGTATTGAATAATCGATAGCATCGAAAATCACACTCGTACTTTAAGAAACAAGATAACATAGAAAAACAATCGAGTGAATAATAGCGCAGCGGAGAAAAAGTATGTGCGTGTGCTGAAGACAAGAGACGCAAGCATTCGCATACATTTTCTTATAAATGTTCTAAGTTGAGAGGATCAAGCTTTTTTTTAGATGAGATTATTATTGTTATTTGGCTATGTCTTTTCGAGCAATGCACCGTGCATCACTTACAACCCTTACTCTCTCTTTCTCTCTCGTGCCGATTGTACAACGTGAAATGATCAAAATATAGTTTTTTCATTACTAAACTATTCTTCGCTAATTGTTATCGATTGGCCTTAAACTATGCTTTTCTCTGATAGGTATATTTTTACGAATACTAATGATAACGCAGACTGAAGAACAGGAAAAATAAAAATAGGGGATTTAAAATACACGCGCATTATACTACGTTAAAAAATGCATGCCATGTTAAGATCATTACATAATCGTAAGTGTTTCTAATGTTATTATAAATAAAATAAAAGCTGACTTTCATTCTTATTCTTTATTCTACTATGTTACAGCTTTGTATTTCTTTTGTCAGTCGCAAATTATTCAAGAAGAAGAAGAAACAGAAAAAAACTCGACCCGATTATATTCGCATGTGCCCTTATATATAAATATAAATGTATGTTGATTGTTCCCATCGACTTCAAACTTACTCTATCGAATAACAAACTAAAGTTTGTATACAAATAGAAAATTAATTGAACATAAAATAAAAATAGCTCAAAGGCAGTCATTGAATTAGTCGTTTTAATGGTTTTATTATTGACTCATCCATTGTATTTAATATGATGTGTTGCAGTACTTCATTTTAAAACTGTAATACGATACTGAACCAATGCAATAAGACGAAATCATTCTCGTACGTAGTGATTTACATTAGACTTTTTGAAAAAAAAATGAACGTCGAAGGTGAAGCGAAAACTGACGAAATATGCTTTCAAGTTAGGACTTGCGAATATGTAATTAGATTGAATAATGACAAGCATTATTTAAAAAACATATTAATTCATTTGATTTGGATTATACTTGAAGATATCAGATTCATAGTTAAGAAAATAAAAGGCGGAGATCAAGTTACAAAATAGAATTCCTTTTCGTATTGACTTATTAAGGTGTTTGACATCAAGATTACCAATATAGACCAAACGTTTGGTGATAGTTGAACGAGTAAAGATTCAACATGAACTAGTTGTAATGATTCAAGTAAAAAAAGAAAAGAAAAACTTCTATCATTCTTTTCATTTGTTTGATGTGAATGGCATAGTATTTAGAACCCATCGATGAAGAATTCCATGTATCAAAATATTCTCGATGTAGTGCATTTCTTTCTGATTTAGATTTTAATATGATAATTTGAAGTTTGCGAGCATAAAAAATGGCTGATTACATCGTGGCCTTACTGGCTCGGTCATTTCTAGGAGGTTCATCGGAGGGTTTCCGCTTCCGCTATGCACAAGGTCAACGGAATCGGGAGGCCTTCATCTATAAATTTCTTCTTGTTATGCTAGTATATCATTTGTTAAAACTATAAATTATTCTAACATTCAAATGGAAAGAATGGCTCATTCATTCATTTTTCTTTCCTTAGAAAGCCGTACAATGGCTATGTATCCGAGATATAAGAACTTTCTCTCTCTCTCTCTCTCTCTGTCTCTGCGGAGGCACCAAATGTACTGTGAAGGTTCTCTTTTTACAACATATATTCACATGAACAAATATTGGCTACCCTACAGATAGACATGACCTCGTTTCTTTTTCCTTTTATCAATGAGACAGAGTATCACTGTATATGCGCACTTATCCCTTCGAAAAGAAAATGACTACTTCTTTCTCTATTGATTTAGTCGATTCTTCGGATGATTTTCAGGTTGTAAAATAACGTCAAATGTCTTGTACGATTTTGTTTTCAATATACGTACTGTAGAAGAATCACTCGTCTGATTATAAATCGAATCAATACAGTTGAAAGAAATAGTAAACTAAGAATATTTTAGAGGAAGTGTTCTTGATGAGAGGAAAATGCCGATTGAATTTAATCACTGGCATATAGAATTTTCATAGATATTGGTGGAGCTCGTACTGCTAAAAGATTTAAGTCTGCATTATTTTGTAAATTCAAAAAAGCATAGACAACTTTTTTAATAGTAAAAAATTGAGATTCGATTATCGAAGTTCACGCATTTATTAATAAAAATTTTATATTATTTGGATCTTGAGGATGTGAGTTTGGAATAAGGAAAGACACATTTCCACGCCGTCAGCTTAACGTCGATTTTCATAGATTTACGAACTAATAAAAATTCGATCATCAGTAGTTTTTCGGCTCGTATAGAAAATATTCTCGCAAAAACAGAAAACGCTCGAGTTAACTGCATTCTTCAGAAAACAGCCACAGGCTGTTCTCTCGAGTGTATTTAATAACACATCTTTTTTCTTTTCGAAATGATTATCATATCGATCAACACGTAACGGTTTAATACTTAAATCATTAAAGCTCAATTTACCTCGTAAAATCAAAACTCGACAGGAAGATTTTCGGGTTTCAAGCGCAAGAATCCTACCTCAGATATTGTTTGAAATTGTCAACGAGTCGAAAAATAAATCGACTTTCAAAAAAAAGAAAACAAATAAAAGTGTTCGGCATGTGAAGAGCCGTGAGACGAGTACTGCTTTCGAGAGTCGTTACGAAAATAAATATATATTGAAAAATGGTCAAGGCCAGACGAAAATGATTTTTCAATTGCGACATTTTTTTATTTACGTATGATTTTTTTCTTTTCAAAATCAACATAAATGTGCACGATCAAGATTCTGCCAACTGTATTTCGCGATCGAACTCGAACATTTGAATTACAGTTTCAATGAATGAAAATATTTCCGATTCATTTCATTTTCAATCTAATAGCAGCCGTCTATTTACCCAATATGAATGGTTTTCGGTTTGTCACAACTTGTTAACTGAATGGGCGAAGGAGATGACACTTAAATTACAACAAGATGTATGAATGTACTAATTTCAATCGGCTGGTTTTTGACAAGATTAGAGAGCTGCATTAATGCACACAGTTTCTATCACAAAGCAAGGAGACGCATACATGTCAAACTTGGATTCATAAGAAAAGACATTAAATTATGTAAAATGTAATCTCAAATGATTAAATGTGATCATTTCGCATGAGAAAAATCGAATGGATTCTTTTTATTTAAAACAATCGCTTGAGAATAATAGCAGAAAAATTATAAAATTTTTCATAAATAGCGTCGCTGATAATGTATTTTCTTATCAAAACTTAAAGTATTAAAGAAAGAGAGAGAAATAGGGAATAAAATAAAAAGCAAATGCATGATAAAAGTACGATAATGACAACGATAGCACAAAGAGAAACAAAAAAGAACTTGAAATCCTAACACAATTAATCGTGCTCTTATAATTGTTGAATTTCGAATAGTTTCACATCAGTATCATACCATATTGGTGGATCAACATTCCTATAGAAATTTAAAGAAAAAAGAATATTTTTGATTTTGTTTAAATATATTTTTACCTGAGATAAATAACGCCCCATGTATACGTACGAAACCACATCACGGTGCCAGAATTTGGCTGATATTTACGAATTAAGATCGGATGTGGTATCGGTAAAAGACCAACAAGTGTACCATGTTGAAGAAATTTAATTATTTCACTTTCATCTGTCAAGCCACGATCCATACAAATCTTTTCGACTTGCGGAACAAGTACTTGAAGAAGACGCATTATGGTTTGTAACGGTAATTTTCCTTTCCATGATTGTGCCCATGCAGATGTTGGCGTCCAAATGCCATTCTCAATTGAATAACTATGATTTGAAATAGTATCACCATTTGATGTTGCAGGCGAAGAAGCCTTTATAAATATAAGTAAAACAGTTGAAATAGTTAAGTCGGGAAAAGTTTTCTTTATTACCTGACTCGAGTTGGCTGATGTTTCATGATTTGTATTAGATCTTTGACTTGGAGGACTATTTAAACTTGCCGATGCAGCCAACGTACGTTCGGTCATTTTATGGATGGCTACGAGAAGAATATACAATTTGCAATATGGCCTTCGATTGCACTTTTTTAAAAATATAGGATTTTCGATAAAAAATGACAAAAAGAAAGGACGTTTTATGCGCCGTTTCTGTTCAATTGTTTTGGTGTTTTTTAACTGCAAAAATCCTTATGTAATTTCTTTCTACTGAAATAAGTCGCTAACTAGAGGCTCATTATAAAAGTTTTTCATAAATCGATAAATAACAATAAAGTAGATTGTAAGCTTTGAAAAAACAAATACTATTTCTCATAATAAAAAGAGACGTTTTCAGATTACGGACAAGAGTTCCCAAAAAATGACAACCTAATTTTATTTTTGTATTTTATCATAGCTCAATTTTTTCTGGTAATAAATAAGTGTAAATGAAAATGCATCTACATAGGATGTTTTTTTCTTTTGAATTATTTTGTATTTTGTACTTAGTATTAAACAATTTCTCAGTCTGTCCACTGAATAGGCGAAAGGAAAAATATTGTTTAAAACAAATGTCACTATAATACAACGATTTGTCCAAAACACATGATTATACACATTAAAAGTTTTTTTTCATCTAAGGACAATAGCAAAATGAAGAGATTTTCTATTTTTGTTCGATAAAATATAGAAATCTATCGAAATGAAGGTGGTCTTGGAGATGTGCGCGTGCATTCGTCGCTTATCCTCGAAGTAACGATCCGATTTCAACAACTAGAATAGTTTATTAACAGTTATGCAACTGTTGTACGACAGAGTCCGATTCGAATTATTCTCTACGCTTTAACTATTATTCTTACATGGTGTTTCAGCTAATGTTGTAACCATCGAACTAATGACTGTTGTTGATTGCTGAGGTTTGTCTCCGTTCGATGTTGATTCATCATCCGTATTGCTTTTTGAATGCGTTTGAAAAAGACTTCGTTTCTTTTCTGATTTATCTGGGCTTGATTTTAGTGATGAAATTGAACCACTTGATTTTGTACTAAATTTAGCTATTGTTGGCATATCCGTCGGGAGATTGCTCAATGAGAAAAAGATTTGTCGTTTACGAATTATTGTATAAATGAGACTAGCATTGCCTAAAAACGATCGGTTGATTTCGTTGATAAAGTAAAAATCTATTTTTTTTACCATCGAATTGATATTGAATAAGATTATTGAATGCTTCAAGAAGAAAAAATACAAGATGGTGATTATCTGAAGCGGCAAAAAGAAACGATGATGAGCTAAATGCCTAAAACGAAATCAAGACTATAAATAAATTTCTCGACAATTGATTTTCTACCTCAAGTAAATGTATTAATTTATTACTTGACACCATTGACAAAGTTTTCAGGTAGGGCGAAATATTAACAATAATGGTTAGTAAACAATCATATAGCGGTTGTATACGTTGAGATGCTGAGACAATTATTTTATGAAAAACCTTCAGAAAATAAGCGGAAGAAATGTGAGATTTCTCTTAATATATTCAATAACAAAAAATATTGATTCTTTACAATAATCAATAGATCTGCATGCGTTCCAGTAAACACGGGAATATTCATTGGTACTCGTGTGACGTATGGTTTATTTAAGCGTACACCAAAATTTCTTTCACCACTTAGTAAAAGTAAAATAAATATACCAATATGCATTATACCAATTTTAGCTAGAGTTAAAGATTATTTTTTGAAGATGAAACTATGATTTTGACATCACTTACAAGAATTTTCACGAGCATCATTAAGAAAATAAAGAATTGGCACAAGTACATCGAGTACTTCACTCGATTTTAGAACATAGTATAAAAATTTCTATTAGAAATAAAGAAAATAAATGATGATTTTTGATGTTATTGCAAAAACCTTATTTCGATCACAAAATTTCCAAAATAAAATTAATAATTCTTGATAAAACCCAATTTTCTTACAAGAACCAGGCAGATAAGTTTGAATCAGTGGATTATTTAATAATCGACAAAAGCCTTTTAACAATACGCTAAAATCCTAAAAGAAAATATTTAACATTATTTTTAAGACTCTCAAGAAATAAAAATTCCGTTGAGCTCAAACTTTCAGGACATTCTACTCATCAGTTGATTTACTTGCGGATAAAACTATTTCGCATCAGCCTCGCAGATATTTTAGTTCTGTCCTGTATACTTTTCATACTATTGCGACTATAGATTTCTGTTGCATTAACACCCTCAAATGAAACTTCAAAATTTTCGCACACCACAATATTTTCCGTTGAAAATTTCCTATCGTTATAACTAAGTATTTTGTTTGAAAAATAAAAACAAATGATTCTTACATCATCTCTATGAATGCGTGATAGATAGTTAATAAATAAATTTGAACCATCATCTCCAATTGACATTTTACTAGTTGATGACGATGACGATGGAATTTGTTCGTTTAATAAAGATGAACTATTATCCAATGTAACACATAATAATTGGGCAGCAGCTTCGACTAGAGGTTCACGTGTATCAGTAAATAAAAGATAATTATACGGTAGATAACCAACAGGATCATAAGAAAATACAATATTTATTAACGACGTAAATAAAGGTAATGTTTGACTAAATTAAACAAAAAAAAAGAATAATTCACTTCAAAATTTAGTAATTTATTTACCGATTATCACTGGATGTGAAATAATTTAACCATTTGTTTGAATAAGATTGTAGTTCGACTAGAAATTTCGATAAGCACAATCATCGAGCGATAATAAACACTTACCTGATGGTTTCATATAGATCGTTTCTGAAAAACAGGTCAGCAAAAGTTTGAGAATTTCCGTTCGATTTCTATCATTGCTTGGTGAATGTACAGGCGAATGAGCACAACCAACACCAGCTTCCCAAATATATTCACAACTATCAATCGTATGAATATCTTCTGGGTTATCCTAAATTCAAAAAAAGAATTCTTTGCCGAATTTTATTATAGATTACTCACTGGTCCTTTTTTCTTCTTTGCAGAAACCGTAAAATCCGGACAAAATAAAAGATCCTTAAAAATAAATCAGAACATTGTGAAAGTCTTAATCATTTTTTCTTTATTTACTGCTAATGTTTGAAGAAGTCGCTGCGCTAATGGTGGTTTACTAAGATAGTCCTAGATTTTGCAAACAAACATTATCTTATTTGACTATATTAATTTTTTCCTTACGCCATTTGATGTTGTTGTTTGCTGTTGTCCGTTAGGTATATCAGACCAAAAAAAACCACGCCATTCCGATTCCTCAAATATATATGGTAATAAACGAGTAAGTAATCGGACACAATTAATTGCTAGAAATAGGAAAAGGGACAAAACCGTCATGATTTTTACTAGAAAAACAAAATTTCCCGAACCAGCTATTTGATCTCGCTCTGTTTGACATGAATGCTCGGCAGCTTGTTGTAAACGATCGACAAGTTTATTACATAGTATGGCTAGGTTCGATGGTGATTTTTCTCGTAATGATCGAATTTCTGCAGCTGAAACTAAAACAAATATGTCTTGAACATTAGCAATTTTATCCGACCAAAATTGATCCCAAAATGATTCATCATTCGATTCAATTTGCTGAAATAACAAAAACATAATATTAATAATAAAAATAAAAATAAATGTTCTTTTTTATTAGTCTATTTTACCTGACTGCGTGCTGCTAGTTGAGCAATAGCTGCAGGAAATTCGACCTTTGAATCTGTATTACCCATTTTATAATATTAAAGATATCTATGAATATGGTAGACAAGGTGAAACGAATGAATGTAAAGCACAACAATTTTTTCATTGGTTGATTATGTTTATCAATCATACAAAAACGTCAAAGGACTCATACCACATCGATGACAACGCTGAATATATAATTAGTTATTAATGTTAGTTTTTCTTTTTTTCTTTTACACAAAAAAGGTGGCGTTAGATTTCTCTTCGAATAAAAAAAAATTTAAGTTAAATGTGTTAAAAGTCCTTCGCATAAAAAAATCCTAGTAAACATAAAAGAACAAAACTGTTGATTTGTCCAAATAGTAGTCGTAAGAAATTCTTCTCACAAAATAAACTGCCTTCAATGAATTTTCTGTACATATGTACAATCGATTTATCTATGTGAAAAAGAAATGGTGCCGATGCCAGAAGGTTACTCAGTCTCCTGCAAAAGCCTTCGAGCTTTTTCTCATATGTTGTAATATTTGATTTTCAGCTATAAACAGGAATATAAATCGTTTAAGCGGTGGTTTTGGAGTTCGGTCACGAATACAAAAAGGCTTTTTTTCCGGGAAGAATCTTTTCAAGGCTGAGAGTGTCGAAGTCAATATTTAATACAAACGAATACGTCATGAAATATGATTTACTGTGTAGAGCTAGCGAAGCGAATCAGTTAGAGATTTAAATCACGAAAGATTAAATTGCTGATTAATAGTAATCAACATAGTCGAGAAAATATTGAATTATTTACATCAAGTATGAATACAATCGTTTTTATGATATAACCAAGAAAAATAAAAGAATGGCGTGAATGATAATTTGCACGTATTGAAAGACGATTTCAATTAGCATTGTTCCCTATGCCAACCATGTGAGAGATTGCAGATATTACCATCAAAATCATCTTCACTATTTCCTTCGTAACTGCACGATCAACTTATTAACAGATTCAGCTTCAAATATTCTTGCACTACAGGAATTCGGATATGAACTGCAAATGTTGATCCACCTATTCAGTCGATAAATAAATCACGACATCTATCCGTTGAGTTCATATCATTTATTCTTCTAAAGCAGCCTATCACCTTTTTTCTTTTTGAGTTTATGGTTTGTGCACTGTTCGATTGAGTGAAGTGTCCTTGTAAATTTAGCAAGAAAATCATGAAATCAATTTATATATCTTGTCTTTTAATCGTTGGTTTTCTCTCAGGTAAATTTTAAATATTGACGAGTCTTTCCTCATTGTTTTCTTTTCCTTCTATTCAGTAACCTATGGACTTGAATGTTATGTATGTGAGCAACAAGAAGGAAATGATGATAAATGTATAAAAACTGTTCGTATGTGTCAAAGATATGAAGATACATGTGCAACGTTAATTCTCTATACAACACCACATGAATGGTAAAGATTAATAAAATATTTGCAAAAAAAAACTCAATCTTAATTTTAAGGACTCCACGTCTTGAACGTCGTCATTACATATCAAAAGGTTGCGATACTCGGGACGCATGTACACGTCGTAAGTTATTTTTTGACAGATGAAATTGTATTCTATTTTTTACGATATATAAATCTTAGTTCTGTATGGTTTGGCAAGTGTTTGTTCACGTAATTGGTATGAAGACTGGGCATGTGTCGAATGCTGTCAGGGAGATCGATGCAATCGATATGTTGTTGTATGTGGACTTGAAAAAAAAAGCTCTTTCTATTCAATGATTTTCAATTGTTTTTGTTTTTAGCTTGGCTCAAATAATATTCGTGCATCAATACTACTATCTGCTATTATGTCTCTAGCATCATTATTTATCCGTTTTTGAATCTCGTTTTGTTAACTATCGCTATTCTTAATCATTCCAAACTTTTGTATGGTTTTATCAAAAATATCATTCTTACTTTGTACTATAGTTCTTTTGTATACTTTTCACACAATTGTTCTCTTAAATAAAGAGTTTTTCACGTAGATTAAAATACATATTGTATCAATTGTTAAATTTATTAATTAAATATAGTTGTAGAAATTCGTTTTCAAAGATAACATATTCCAAATACAGTTCATTCAGCACCTCTCGATTGTTTTTGTTTTAAATATGAAACTTTAATATTTGTCATCTCGGATAGCAAGTTATTCAATGGAATATCAGCGGTATACTGTAGGAATCTTGTACGCTGAATACTTAATTAATATACACCAATGTTTGCTTTTGAAAATGAACGAATTATTTTTGTATTTCTGAAAAACTTTCATAAAAAAGGGAATTTTTTTTTTCTAACGACATATTGTGTTTTAAATCATTCGCTTCATCATCTACCGCCATCTATGTAATTAAATAGTCATTTTATTTTTATTTATTTATTGATTTCTTGAATAAAATTATTCCCGTTAATTATTTTATTAAAAATCATAAAAAAGTGTTTCAAGAAGGTATTGTATTCAAGTTCGATTGGTCAACAGTTGTTATTATTTTTGTTTGTTCGTTGCGTTCTCTCTTTTCCACTTCTATATCAGTGTATGACAGATGCCAGTAATTCTTCTTTTTTTTCTTCTTCGCTTTCTTTGATTAATCTAACAGAATAGAAAAAAAGACGAATCAATAATAAGTTTTGTTAATGAATGAAATCTATTTTAGAAAATGAGTTCTTCATCTACTCGCCGATCTAATAATCGAACTCGCGTTAAACTGTATACATTGAATGAAGAACGACAATGGGACGATCGTGGTACAGGATACGTTACATGTGTAGCACCAAGAACATCTACTACAAGTTATTCCATTATTGTTAAATCAGAAGTTGATGGTTCAATATTACTTGAATCGAAAATTCAACCTAATGCAAATTATCAAAGGCCACAAGTTAGTTGAATTATAATGTGGTTTCAGTAATAATTATTCTTCCTTGTTTTTTATTTAAGGAAACTTTAATTCAATGGTCAGAAGGCGAAAAATATGATTTAGCATTAAGTTTTCAAGAAAAAGTCGGTTGTGATATTATATGGGGAAATATCTGTGATGTAAATATAATTTTTTTTTGTGAAACTGTTTGAAACTCTCCTATTTCAATTTAGGTACAAGGAAAAATTTCGTCTTCATTTCTAACCAGTGCAAATAGTTTAACAAACGATTCAGCGATTTATGAATCTGATGATAATTGTGGTGAATCAAATGAAAATTATTTATCGTCAGCAATAAATTTGCCACCAGTCGATTTATCACAATTACATGATATATGTAATTTATTTTCACCGGATAAAGTTCGTGATGCCGCACGGCGAGATTTACTGGCACGTGCAATTGAATCGGGAAATTATATTCAAAAATTAATTGAACTATTTCATGCATGTGAAGACTTGGAAAATATTGATGCATTACATCAGTTATACGAAATAATACGTTCAATATTTTATTTAAATAAATCAACTTTATTCGAAATTATATTCAGCGATGCAATAATAATGGATATTATTGGTTGTTTAGAATATGAACCACAATTAACAATGAAAACTAAACGAAATCACAGAGAATTTTTAAATAAAAAAGCAACATTCAAAGAAGTTATACCGATTGGTAATCAAGAATTATTAAATAAAATTCATCAAACATTTAGAATACAATTTGTTCAAGATGCAATTTTACCAGCACCGAGTTTATTCGAAGAAAATTTATTATCAACAATGAATAGTTTCTTATTTTTTAATAAAGTCGAAATTGTTACATTACTTTACGTAAGAAGAATGTTGTCGTCGTAGGAATTTGTAATTTTAAGATTTCTATTTTAGGAAGATCCAAAATTTCTTAGTCAGTTATTTGCAGCATTAAAAGATGACAACCTATTGGATGAAAAACGAAAAGATCTTATGTTATTTCTTAAAGAATTTTGTGTTTTTTCTCAAACATTACAACAGCAAAATCGAGATAATTTTTTTCAAGTATGTATTCAATTGACGCGGCTTCATCGTCGAAATTATTCGTAATGAATAGAATCAACACTTTGTAATGTCAGAAATATTTATTCTATTTTCAAATAGATTTCTTTCTTGCACACATAGAAATTAGTTTCGCATGGTGTTCAAATTTCTAATACCGAGCTTAACTAATTTTACTGTAAGAAATTCTTTAATCGCAATGAGAAATCACTTTCGATTAAGCACAAACTATTATCTGCTAAATATAATCTGAGCACATTCGTTCATTGCATAATTCTTAAGAGAAAGAATTTTATGTTAAGTCATGTAAAAAATGACCTTGAATGTACGAACTCGTAATACAAAGAGTCAATATGATCTGTACGTTTAAATCTAATAAAAAGATTTTAATTTCATTGAGTAACTGAATAAGTACAAGATGAAAGATATTAATTAACGAATAGAGCTTTCTATAATTTTAATGATTCAATCCTACACAGTGTTCTATTGTGCTTTGTCATTGTTAGTCTTTTTACCTCCATGATAAGAACACGCTGGTAACACAAATCCACGGCATATATGTGTTATTCAAGTAAATGTTTAATTAAATATGCGAGTGAACATTTGCTAATAGATTTAGATTAAGATTCGATTATTTTTTGTAAATGTCGACGTTAGATGATTTCTATTCGGAAGTTGCTGAATTTCGTATTCCGGAAGTTTGAATTTTCATTGATTATGTTTATTCAATTTTAGGCACTTGCAACTCATGGTATTCTAAATGTAATTCAAGTAATGCTTGTAAGTAATTGATAGAATACGAAGTAAATAATGTATACAAAAAATAAAATCAAATCTAATTAGAGCCTTGATGACGTAACAATAAAACAAGTTGCACTTGACGTATTTACGTCTATTGTTGAATGTAACCCATCAACCGTACGTGAATATATGCTACAAGAAACTCAATCGACACAAGATGATGATGAACTACTGCTTACTTTAGTCATATCGGAAATCCAAAGTGATCCAGATCCAGGTATTATGCAGGGGAAAATATTTGAGAATCAGTCGAATGTTTAAGTGAAAATTGAGTTCAATCACAATATTTCTCGTGCGATTAAGAAAAGTTTTTAGCATAATCTCTGCAAGATTCAAATTCCGTTTAAAAGGAGTAGATCGTATTGAAGCAAAGGCTTCTTTTAGAGGTTTTTATTCAAATGCTTAATAATAGAACTTCGAGTGAGACTCTACGAGCTGCAGTTAGGATTTTCTTTCGATGTATAAATATTGATCCGGTTTGGTGCGAATTTTCTATTTCTTATTATAGAATTAAGTGGCGCTCTTAATTTAATGAATTATCTTAAATTATTAATTGATCCAGAAAATTCAATTACTGTATCAGTCATGGAAAAAACAGAATTTTTATCATTTTTTTATTTTCGTTCAATGTCTGTGTTACTTGCACCACTGATGGCAAATACAATCGATTTTAAATTAACTCGTGATGATTTTCACATAGCACAATTGCAACATTTAATAATTGATTTTCTAATATTTTGTATTGAACATCATACATATCACATACGAAATTTCCTTCAGAAAAAAAATTTATTAAAACGCATACTTGTTTTATTAAAATCAAAACATCAATTTTTACAACTTAGTAAATATACTTTAATTTGTTTTGTTTTTACTTCGTTCTATTCATTTGTTTTTCAAATTATTTAGGTGCTCTACGGCTTTTGAGACGAATCGTTGGTCTAAAAGATGAACAGTACAATTTAACAATTGTTCGAAATAATTTATTTGCACCGATTGTTGATGCATTTAAAGCTAATAAACGACGGTATAATTTATTAAATTCAGCAATGATTGAATTGTTTGAATTCATTCGGATAGTATGTAGAGAAAATTTTGAAGAAGAATTTTTTTCTCATATGATGTTTTTTTATCTTCTAGGAAATTATAAATATATTAATTAATTATATTGTGGAAAATTTCTATTCGGACTTTGAATCGATAACCTATGTTAAAACATTTCAGGATTTAAAATTATATTATAATGCTCAAAGAGATAAAAGAGAACGAATACTCAGTGATAGGTATGTTATGAATATTGTCTGAAGAGATCAATTTGAAAAATCCAATTATAAAAGAAAATTTGAATTCCGAAACCAGTGGTTAATTTTATCCTTAAATATTTTTGCCGATGAGAAGGCTCAGTACACAAAAATGCATTGAAACTGAAATGTTCGGATAATACAAATACTCTTCTACCTTTCTTTCTGCGCAGTAGTGAATCCGATGAAATCAACGCGAACTAGAATATCCTGAAGATGTATTTCTATTGATTTTTACAGTTCACCGACGAGTAGTACTTCACGTTTTTATGATCATCTAAATCCTACTCATCTGTCATCATCTCAACGTCTTCGAAAAGATGAACGTGAACTTGATGTTGATGAAGAAAATTGGTTTAATGATGATGCCGACGAAAATAAACTTTCGTCACTCAATCATGGTACACTATTCAACGATGGTTCTGATGATGATGATGATGACGACGATGACGATGATAGTCAACCAGAAGTAGCTAGTGCAATTTCAACCAGTGAACCACCTAGATCTCGTCATTCGTCATCCGATGATGACGAGGAATTATCAACAACATCGCACACGAATTATAATAAACCTGTTATTAGCATTCATATTGGCGGTCGCTCGCCAATGCCATCATCGTCGTCGACAACCGATCTTCCACTAGATACGTCTTCTCCTACGTCATCAAATCCAATTGGTTCTGCATCTCCATACGCGATGGTAAGGCGACAACAATGAAATGAAAACGATTTCTTTACATAAATCTTTAAATATTTCTTTTTTTTATTATAGAGTCCAGCATTATCGAGTATTGCCGATCAATACAATGATGATGATGATGATGAAGAAGAAGTAGAGGAAGATGAGGACGAAGAAGAAGAAGAAGATGAGGATGAAGAAGAAGAAGACGAAAATAACAGTGATTCATATACAATAATAAAAAAACGAAAATTAGATGATAATGATCAAGAACAAAATAAAATTTTCAAAAGTAATAGTGATCAATCATAATAATGATTGAATTAGCTGTTTTCTTGTTTTCGTCTCAACTCAGGTGTCGTTTAAAATTCTATACACACATGTCGTTAAAGAAAAAAGTGTCCGAGCAAGCATTAGTTTTTTTTGTTTTTGTGCACTGTTTTTTCTTTCTTCTCTTTCTATCTATCTTTTCTTTATTAATGTATATTAATGTATCATCGTCCTTTTTTCCCTTGGTCTCGGATGCGTAAGTTCAGATGGTGTGTGTATGTGTACAGATTATTGAAAATATATAGAGACTTCAGTCGATATTTTATTGTGTGTAGTTATTGTCATCATTATTTTGTCTCTTTCTCTCTCTCTTTTCTTGCGTTAGGACAAATCTTGTATGAATTTTATATAAATGAAGATCATGTCGTTTATGAAAATGATTTCTTTTTTGAGAAATTTATTATTACAGAGGTAAAATATATTGTGTTCTATAAAATAGCAACATCTTGGATTTCGATCAAGAATTATGCGTGATTCTTATTATGACACAAGTGATTAAATAATTGAGGGTGTGGATGTTACTGTGGGTATCGCATCTATCAAAGTAAGACACTTACACCCTCATACCCCAACGTTTCTCATGGAGAACCACCCTTCAATAAACTTCGCTGTTCCTCATGCTTGATGATTTTGTTGAATCGAACGCTAGGAACCAGATCTTCTTCGAGTAATCAGGTCTGTTGAAGATAAAAAAGAATCACACAATATCTTGGCGAGTTTTTTCTATTTCATATTGCAATGCAATTCTTCCAGAGACGGGTCAGTGAATCAATAGTTAGAGCGTTGGTTTTATCTCGCTGAATCTTTCTCTAGAATTTACACCTATTTCTCTTCACATCTGATGCAGCATTATGAAATAATTTTACAGCGTTCGATTATTAAGTATTAGGACATAAATCAGTCCCAATATTGATGCTGAAAAAATTAAAACAGAAAAATAAAAATCAATACGACTAACGAAAGGAAAACATTAAAAATTTTGATAATCGTTTATTTCTGCTAAACGCCAAATAGATCCGCTGCTGGATACAATTGTTTAAAACAAAGAACAATTTTGAATGAACAGATTCCAGTTTTGTTGAATGAGGAACTGAACTCCTCCCACAATCATGTTGTAATATGCACCATTGGACGACCTCATCAATTTGCCGAAGGTCCAAGCGCATTTATCAGCGTTTTCCTCGCCGTTCGAATCAAACCAGGCATTCATAAATGGATCTGTGGTTGCTTCCATTGCTTCGTGAGCAATAACACTAGCCATTGCATCTGCTCCAAAGTTGCCATTCGGCGAAGTTTGCTGTACTGAACAGCTCTGTGGACATTGTAATTCTGAATTTCCAATGCATGAATAGATCAATTTAGTTGCCAAATCGTAGCTATGCCAACCGCATGCACTCGTGCAAAATTCTGTTTCGTTGACATCGAAAGAGGTCAACACAAAATAGATACCGTTTTCGTTAAATGGCAATGCTTGGGAGCTAATTGCTTTTGTGACGATTGCAAATACCATTGACTGATTCAAATTCGTTCCTTGTGAATAATTATCATATGTTGATTGACCGAAGGTTATATTAGATCCATTAGTATATTGTGTAGCCATGCCCCACCACGAGGTTGAACCAATACCCGCTAAAAATTTTTCTATCAGTACAACACCACTATTTCCAGTCCAATTTCCATACCAAACTACATATGCAACAGGACTCTTCATGACAGGATTTTCATGATAAGTTATATTTGGTTGAGCGATAGCTGCTGATAATGCATCAGGGTTAACGTTCTCGATACTTGGTTCGACATAGGTCTGTATGCTATCTCCTGAACAGTAAAAAAGTGTTCAGTGAAATCTCTACAGAATTAAAGGGTGTGTGTGTGTGGTTGTTGGTATTCCTGTAACTTGTTCACAAACACTCACACTCAAAAATTTATATTATTGCTGAATTCAAAGTTCAGTCTATTTGTGTCTTTTTTTAGTAGAGCGCGTTTTGCAAGTGGTTGAGAGGTTACTTACGGGAAGAAACGTCCTCTAGAGCCTGGAAAATTATTTTAATATCCAGCTTCGTGCCATCAGTGAATGTTAACGAAATCGGGATAGCTGTAACTGAATGCACCTGTGATTTGACTTTGTTGGAATAATTATCTTGGCAAGTCGTCGATTTGCATACCGTTGAAGGGAAATTAATTTTTACGATGATAACAAGAATACTGCTGATAGAAGTTTGTCTACTTTCCCGAACAGTTGATAGAATCCTATAAGAAAGGGAATGAAAATTGTTGAATGGAAAGGGTGACATTCAATGTTGGCCTGAAAAATTGCCTTTTGCGTTTTCCGGACACCGCTGCATTCTGAAATTGAGCGCTTTGCACGCTTAGCGAACTTGATGGAAGGCCTAACTGTGTGCTCAACTAAAAGAACACGTGAACGAGTTAATCAAAAGAACTTCAAAAGCATACTTACTTGTTGGTCTAAGTTCACTGCATTTGCAACAGTTTTGCCAGTAAGATCCCCATTTGTTATATAACGAACATTTAAGATTGTACCTGAATATTTGAAATAAGTAGGAACTAAGTACAGCTTTGATTAAAATTATAGCACCACATATTTGAGTGCAATTGATTGCTAGCTCTTAACCGCTCTAAATTTTCGTGAAAAAACGTCGGTGCGAATATATGCATTCCAGTATGTTTTATTCGCATATGGAATCAAATTTCATCAGTGCTATTACCACGTTCGAGAAAACAAATTTATATTAAAATGTCTTGCTTTTCGCCTATCCAAAATTATAGATCTATTGTCGTATGTTCGCTATTTGGGAACCAAAGAAAGGTTAGTTTTGCTCTAAACTTGCATAGACAGATACAGAAGCTTCTCTTGAACATTTTTACTTACATTTAAACAGAATTTATATAAATTTAAATTTATTTTTGGATTTAATAAATTTTCATAAATGTAAATTGGTCACCCCTCATGCTTTTTCAAACTTGATTTTTATGAAAACGTGCAAAAGAAGCGTCTGTATCTGTCTATGCAATTTTCAAGCAAAAACAACGTCCCTTTTATCCACAAATAACGAATATATGATAATGGTTTCATAACTTTGGATCAACGAAAAGCAACGAAGGTTAATAAGCATTTGTTATCTTCAACTTGGCAATACTATTTAGGAAATATGATTCCATATTTGAACAGAGTATACTCCCAGAACTTAGTTGCTCCTATAATTCTAGTCAGCAGTGTATATAGCATATACAGCAAGATAATTACTTTTTCCGTTAGTAGTTGTGACGCTGAAGTTTTTGTAAGGCCAATCGATGGGTAACAAAGTGAACACAATACAGATTGCCACAAACAAAAGCACGATCATTATGAAAATAATAATGACCAACGGTATCCAACCGTTTCGAGATCTAGTAAAAGTCGATCACAAAAGTGAAATATTTTATGCTGGAGAGCGGGGAAACACGACAAACCTGCGTGGATTAACGTCGAGTGTTGCTCGAGATAGCATTATATGCTTATTCACTGGAGTTCGTTTTCTGTGGGTGGAGTTACGACGAATGTGTGATGCGTTGCAATTTTCTCTTTAGCTGCTCTAATTCGTTGTGTTTTTCATCTATATATATGTATTTGTTGATTATGACCAGGTAAAAATTGCAGTCAGATGTACTTTCAAATAACTGTCTTGATAATATTGGCAAATGACAGCTACCAGCATTTTATCACGCATAATGAATTATACAGCTAATTAAAAAAAAAACTCGGTAGTGTGTTGAATATACGCACATGTAAGCAAAGGAAAAAGTTTGCTTACCTTTCATTCTTCGTTTAAATACGATAGCGATCGAGTGTATCTATATTTCCTTCCGATGTCTATTCGCTTACTTTTCTTTTTTTCTTGTTCTCTCTTTTCTTCCTTTTCGTATTGATCATCTTACGGCTTGAAGATTTACCTGGACAAAATCACCACCAACTAGAGCCCTGCGGAGTCAAGTTTTTTCGACTTAGAGTCCGAAAAAATGAATACAGGTTAGAATGTCCTTGAAAAAGTGTGCTGCAGCATAGATGGATGTGGATGTGGTATTACTATATTCTTGTTCACAGTTACACCGCACACCCTCAAGATCTTAATATTGCATAAGATTTTCCAAAATCTTGTAGCCATATCTTACAATACAGCAAGATGTTTAAAGAATCTGATGGCACGAACTGATGGAGGCTTCCACAAACAACGATTTTTTTGTATGATCTTATCTGGTGTTCAAGATCTTACGCCAGATTTTTAAACTTGAGTAGCCATACCCACCCACACCCTCTTACCTCTGTTTTAGGATCCACGGTATGGTCAGTCATTAAGAGGCTCTTACAATTGTCGAGTTCGATGGCTGTGCTTGTATACCTTGGAGGCGTATCTCGCAGACACATATTTGAGCCTCTTAAAATGGTCCACTCGCGAATGGTTAATATGGCGCAGTTAGCTGAAGAAGAAGCGTTCAAAGCTCATATTGGCTCTACATACAGCTTTACGGGCGCGCTAGATGCCTATGATAAGATGATGTCTCGTAAAGTAACGAGTAAAGTTGTTATTGAGATTAAGGACCTCGAAAATGATTTAACTGAACAAAAATGTAATCCTTATTTTTTATGATACTGCAAAGTGTTTTTAATTATATATTCTTAAGGGTGTGCGAATGTGAGTTGAGTAGAGAATAGAACGAATCAGACTCAGATTCATATCCTCACACACAGAGTGTTAACGATATTAATAACTTAAAACATAGAATTTATCTGAATGATATATGTATTTTTCTAGATGACCAATTATCATGCTTTCGTTAATATTCTCATGATGAAAATAAAGAACAACCAGTACAAACATCAACACCTATGAGGTTGTTTACAACACTGTCAGTGAAAACAACTGTATCTGAAGATGTTCATGAAGCACTAATTCAAGGAAAAAAAAGCTAGTCTATCAAATTGAATGTTATAAGACGACATGAATGCGTAAATTTATCTACGAACTAATGTTGTAGCTACAACATTTTTTTTTCTACTCTAGCTCATCTATTAGATCCAAAAAGCATGAGTTTTTTTTATTAAAATTGGTCGCTTACTATCAGGAGAAGCGAATGGTTATCAGAACAGTTACATCCAGGTGAATTAGAAGTATTTTCAAGATTAGAATCAATCATAACACTATGGTATGTTATTTATTTTGCCATTATCATTATATTTGGCACAATTTCTCAATCCAGTTTAACGAAGAAAATGGAATTTTCGGCTGTATTATTAATGAACATGAGCGTTTCAAACTATCTCACCTCTGAAGTAACAACACATCAAAGCTATCTTGCAAGTATGTAATACGTATTTCTTGTGCAGTGAAATGATTTTTATGAAACAGATCTCGCTCTTTGTACAATATCGAAAGAAAACGTTAATAAAAGACGTTATAGCTGAAAAATATCCAGATGAAGTAAACAGTAGATAGAACAAATATGACAATAAATTTTTTCAAGATTTTTACGTAAAATCAGGGAATTTTCTAATCAAATAACATTGTAGCCAGTGTGTTTCAATAATATCAAATGTCATCTCGTTTAAAATATTTAAAAAAATCATAATAATATGTTAATAATAATATGATTTTCTTAGAATAAATGGCTGCTTTTTCAGTCGTACGGTGATTACTATTCATAATTTTTTTCTTAAGCTTGGGACCAATGTTTGAACGTAGTTTTTGGAAAATGAATGAGAAATTTGCTGTTTTTTAGGTACGGTGGATGAGTTAAATAATGATGGTGAAACTCAGCAAGAAACTTTCATCACGGTACATATTTCTTATAAATTCATGCGATGACCAGCCAGCTCGGTGTTTGGTACAATGTCTTCCAGAATAGTTCTTTATCCTATCGAAAGAACAGGATAAGATGTAGCAAACACATTTTCTGGCTGAGTATATTTAGATAGTTGAATAGAAAAATCATCAATATCATCTCTTGATAACGTCCTATTGAAGATCATGACAGATAATCAGGCATCTTATTTTCGTTCGCTTTGGTATGCTTATAATTTTTAAACGATATTATTGCAATTTTAGTCATCATTTTTCATATTTTTCATCATGTTGTAATTGTATATTCAATGATAATAATGTTTTATGATAGGCTTCCAATATGAATTCAGCTCCACCCAGTGATCATATATGCTATTTCTCGTCTGGATATTATTTATTTTGTGTCGAAGAGGATTTTTTGTGATTTACATAAAAGTAGTAGATCACCATTAGGACAAGTTTATAAATCGTCACAAGTAGCAAATGATAAGCAAAATTACGATTCGGAAAAACAACAAGAAATTACAAGTTTAACAATAATGAAAAATCAAAATAAACAAGTGATCTTAACGGAGATGTGAAAAAATGGAAAAAGTTTTTTTTTTTCACTTTAATTGTATACAAATGGATAATATATTTTATCATTGACTTGTTTTATCCTGTGAAAATATTTCTACATTGAATTGTCAATTACTCATATTTCGTGTGACTTTCTATATTTTATAATAAATATGCAACTGTTGTGAAATATTATTTTTTGTTATAATATCAAATATAGCCTTTATTTAACTGTACAATTGCCGAAAGATCTCATAATATTTTAATAATAACACAAAGAATGTAAAAAGAGTTTTATAAAAACCACATGGTTGAAGTAGCAAGAAATACTAAGTTTTTAGGTAGATAATAGAAGACGCAGGGTCTTTTAACGTGTTGATGGCTCTAAAGTGAACAACAATAATAAGTAACTTAAATTTTTAATACCAACCGAAACGGTGAATAAAACATGTGAAAATACAGTGTTTCAAGATGTATTTGGGATGGTAGGTGTCATCCCATATCACTGCTGGATGTCACTGTAAACATTGAATATATTCGATGGAACTACCCAGGAACATTGATTCCCAAGTTAGTAGTAGTAGTAGTACGAACTGTTGTTGTAATTGTTGACGATGATATAGTGCTCGTACGTAACAGGATCACTGCTGGAATTATTACTAGACAGCCGACAAGAATTGCTATAAAAACTATCAATAGATGTTGAACCCATGATGTTGTTACGCTAATTAAAGACAAAATTTCTACAAAAAATTTACCAGTATGCAAGAGATACGTACGCAGTGTACATTGGCTTTTCAACGTTTGGCACATTATTTAAATTGAGTCGGATATCATTTTGCGTTCGATTACTAGATGCACTTTCTAATGACGACGTAGAGAAGATTCTTGTAGACTCTTGTGCTGTAGCCGACATCTCACTTGCTTTTCACTTTTAATTCAAAAACTAAAACAGCGTTGATCTATCAGAAAGTGAATGTTTCATACTTACTGAAATTGCTGAATAATGTGCATGAGACGAGGCGGATTGCATTTATTTTCGTCGTCAAAAGCTCTTAGTTATATATACACGTTTCTTTTCTCTTTTAACGAAAACGTGGTTGCAATGCAAACGCTTAATGTTGTACTTGTTTTGCCGTTGAAAGAACATATTCATTCTTTTGTGAATGAAAAAGCAACGAGTCGTTCTTTCTGAGTTGAAAGCATTTCAAGTGTTCAGAAAAACAATCTACATCTAAGTAATTAGTTAAATGGTTCTGTGTTACTTTCGTAAGTTTACTTTAGTAGCTATGAGTTACATCAATTTTGATTGAATTGTTTTGAGACTAGAAACGAGAAATCGAACGTTTCATTTTTGAAATTACAAGAATGCTTTATTAAAAGTCGATATTACCTGTGTGAATCAATTTTTTCTTCTCTTTCCAAAGTAAATTGACAGGAGTAACGGACGATATTCAGAAGAAACAATATGCAAATAGCGTAAAAGCTGTCGTTTTGTTAAATTTTCAAAAAAGTATATTTATCTGTAGAGCTTTTACAAGGGAGTTATTTTTGTTCTAGGTCTGGTGAGAATGGTACAGTAGATCAACTTTCCTTATCGTAGAAACATATTCCCAATGCTTAATCGAATTATCGCACGTTTTTTTTCTGTTTTTCATGGATTCATATATGTGTAATTCACGAAGTTTCTTGTATTCGATGATAGTATAATGCTGTGCCAATTAGTTTTCGGCGCTTCAATTGAACTTCTCGCTTAATCTCCATGGAATAACATCATGAAAAGCAATATTTCAATACTAACTGCAAGTAAAACGAAACTGGGTGTGAGTGTTACATTGATAGGTGCTATATTCACAGCAACTACTACGCTCAGACCCACAAGAATCTCAAGCTTAGAATTGGAATTGGCATAGAATTTTGTGAGACTTCATCTTGAACTCAAATTTCTCAGCGAAGTCTGATAGCATCTCGCCAGATTTTCACTTCACTTGATAATGAGTCGGTTGTTCTTCGAAGCGTTTGTTTTAGCACTTGCCGAAGCACCATCATTGATGTAAATCCGATAAAAGAATATTATTTTTCATTGAGTTCTTTTTTATATTAACATTGTGATTTGTTGTTTCATTTCTTGTAAACGTTCGATGAGAGTCTATATTTAACATGTTGCACATTCTTTGTTTAAACGACAAATCGTTTAATTTAAATAAAATATCTCGCTCATATTGATATTCATATAGAAATATGATTGACTTCAGTATTCCGAAGACAATAGCTCATCTGACAGGATCTGTGACAAGGTCAATATTAGAATTATAGTAGGTCAACTCGTTGTCAGTCCTCGGGGAAAAAATAGTCACAATATTGTTGACTTTATCTGAGAAAGTTATACTTGAATATTGCCAAAAAATTGACTGAAATTGACGGCAATGTCAATAAATACTCACTGTTGCTTCGGTTTCTAACTATCAAAAAGGAAATAAATATGTAACATGATGTTTTGTTGAAACTCGTTTCATTTATTGCTTTAGAGTTCAATCGTGTCAATCAATCAAATGAAGAATTATGTTCTTCTTCTTCTAAACTTTGTATTATTCATTGAAAATTGAATTTTGGCATGCGTAGCACCTATACGATACGATTTTGTATAATATTGAAAACAGTAACGAAACTATTGATTACTACGATTGTATTTATCATCATACTGATACTGTATTCGTCCCAACAAAGCACTGCCTTTCTTAAATCGTACCTTTGCTAATTATCTTAACAGTGGGAAAAAGTAATCCTCTTTGAGTTGCGGCAGCTCAATATTTCATTGAGTCAACTTCTTCGATGGACTTCTGCTATTGAAATAATATATTCATTTTTCTCCGATTCTAATGATACCCCAATGCAGAACTTCGTTTGTTACTGTATCAACATCAATACATTTGGGAAGTATTGTGAATATCATTTAGGCAAACTATTAACAAACGATATGAATTGAAACGTCAGTATCCATATTTTGGTGGTGAATTGTATGGTAATTTATCATGCTATACTATATGTACTATTACCGTGTGATTATTTATGGTGTATTGTGTTTAAACTGAAGGGATATTTGTGAAGGAATACAGCAATGTGCTGATGAAGAAGGTTATCGCTGTGGAAATGGAGCTTGCATTCCAGCAGAATATTTTCTGGATGGTATGTAAAAACATTTCGCTGCGAATGTCCTTACCTATATCTTTTGTCTATATTTCAAGTTTAAGAAGCAGCTTCGACATGCTCAACTCTAGAGAGTCGCGTTTGATCACTTGATTTGTTTACATGAACGAATGTCATGAACACATTTCTCTTTTAACTTATTTTTTTCATTCACTTTAAGGTGAACCTTATTGTCAAGATAAATCAGATGAACCACTGCATCAGTTTTTCTGTGGCGAGGGTGTGGGTGTGGGTAAAGGATAAAACTAACACCCACACACACCCATACCCACACCCTCAATTACTTGTTTTTCGGTTGATACAATGTTAACTTTAACTCGAAAGTTGAGAATATGTGTTTATACACATTTCGATTGGCTTGTGTCTGTGATTATTTAATTTTGACAGATAGCAAGAAAACATTCTAATTAAAAAATTATCGCTCTAGTTGTTTGCAAGCTCTTCGATACTTCGAACGTAATATTGGTTTACTTTTTGTTTATACATATTTGATTAGAATGGTAGTTTGAGTCGAAAATAAAATTTATTTAAATGGCAGCTCAACAGAATATAAGGAAGTGCGAAGATATTTCTTTCACTCAATGGTTATTGACATTATCAAGTAGAAAATTGTTGAAAATTGCGAATTCAAAAAATTAAATGCCGAATATAATTAAATCGCATAAAATACATTTATCTTTTCCAGTAGCAGATCAAGAAATTTCATATGAATACAGATTTATTTATGTCATTAGTTCAATATCCATGATATTGACACCCAAAGCATTTGTGCATTTCAGATTAACGGACCGTGAAAGAAGAAAGCCATTCTTCTTTGTGAATCATCTCTTTTTCGACTCTTCCTAGAAGACACTCTTAATAATAACTGATGCTGATATTGAATCATTCACAATCAACTGAAAAGTTTGCCTATTAAAAATAGCTATCCTATTTTATTTTAGGTTTGTGAGTCGTCTATGTCTCATTTATAACGAAAGATTCTTCATCGCTAGTTTAATTTATTCGAATTTTTCTTTGAAATATATCCCATCTGTCAGATGAAACCTCTATAACAGCGTAGTATTGCATGAGTGTCTAATCTGATGTGAAAAGCATTAATCTGAGAATATTTTTCTTATAAATTACAAATGTATTTTACACAGCTAATAGAAAGATCAATTTTGTAAAGCAATCTTTTATAAGTTTTTTTTAGCAGAATCGTTTGTAAAAAAAACGCCAAAATATTTATTGTTATCTTTTAGGTAGTGGTAAATCTACTCCGGCGAATTATATACAAGCAGCGACGTGCCAGCTCAGTGGCGTAGTCAGAAATTTTTGAGTCATGGGCTGTTTCCCAGCTAAATGATTTTGTGGGGTGGGCACTAATGGGCAATTTAAAACCAATTGGGCTCCAATTGGTTTTCGATATGTATTGGCATCGTGAAACCGATGCATACTGAAGGAAAACTCGTCACTATTAATTAGATCATAATAAGAGACATTGTTTTACAATAACACCATGTATCTTGGAATATATATGTGTATCAGGATTTTTCGGTATTGGGCAATTAGTAGCAGTTCAAAAAATCATGGGGCAACAACTTCTGAGTTATTGGGTAATTGCCCAATGGCCACCCCCCTGGCTACGCCACTGTGCCAGCTAATCGATTTATTTCCTGACTCATATAATAAGAAAATACATTCGAATGATAATGTTCTTAAATTATTATCTGACATGTCGACTGCTTCTCATAATGATATTTTTAATAACACGAAATTAAATACAACAACTGCAAAGAAAGTAGTCGAAGAAAGAACGAAGATGACTGTTAATTTCGATAATGAACTAACTTTATTTCGTCAAATGGCGCTTGTTAGGATGCATCTTGTTTTAATTCTCTTAATATAAATAGTATAACTAATATAAAGCAACTTTTTTCAGATTGGTGATTTGTTCGCTATTACAGACGAACTAGATAGCCAACTAGTTCGCTTAGGAGTTTTCAATTCAAATGATGAGTCAGCAGCACCTGAATCAAAATTTCTTATTCAAGCATATGATGGTATTCACAATGAGCCTTGTGGGACTGGTGCAACGAAACATGTAATTGTCGATGGTAAATTAGCTATTTTTGGTCCATCGACTGGTCAACGATATGCATTTAACGTGCGTAACTTTGCACAAAATATTGGAAATGATGGTGTACTAGTTCGAGTGTCGTATTTAGTTATGCCACATGGAGGTGCAAAATCCATTTCAAATCGAATACCTATCTTAATGCCAAATGTTCTTCATATTGGTGTAACGATAGAAAATGTTTTATTGTGATATCGAACTCTTTTATTTCAATCATCCTTCTCCTTTTGTAGTTACACTTTCTTTCTCCGGGGCGCGTCACTCAACCGGAGAGAACGACAAAGAGAGAATACACATGAAAATGAGGAGAAAGTCGTTTTGTACATTGATTAGGACAGAACGAGTTCTTATATCGACACTGTGCCGATATTGATGGCACGCTTCGATGATTCTCCTTCATTCTCTTTCTGTTCTCTTTCCATTGTTCTAACATCTCTCTCCCCTGTCTCTCTTCTATCTCTCTCTTATATATACGTGTGTTACGTATGAAGTTGTTACACTCTGGAGATGTCAGATGACACAATACACCATCATGCCGACGGGCATAGGCGACACTCTCTAGTTTTGTCGTTACACTCTGGATAACTTGAAGTAGTCTAATAAACATCTTTGCCGAGAGTGGCACAAGCTAATCCAATCCAGTTGTTCGTTACAGGCACACTCGGACATTTTCATTGATAAAAACTGTAATTGATTGAACATTTTTATTCCGATTTTATCGGTTGGATAATAGGATATGCATGACAATACTGCTCGAACCTTTGATCATCGTTTTTAATGGTAAACTAATAATAGCTACGAAAAATTTTAGTAAATTGACTAACTAATTCTGATGCAAAGCGAATAATTTAATGAGCAATTTTGTATACATGTAAAATAAATCAGTATTTTTAATAATTTCTTAGTGAAATTATTAAAAAGTCAAACTTGAACATACGAAAGAAGTAATTGTAATTTTGTGATGGAAATAATATATCTTGGCCAGAATCACTCGTGATAATAATTGTTGTTAGTGCATATACGATGTAACACGACAACATAAAAGATCAATTAGCGGTATAGTCAATACTATAAGATTTGTTTTTGGGTAGCAATATTTTTGATCACCAAAAAAATGTACAAATGATCCCCAATCTATTTTGTTGCGAAATGATCACCAAAAATAGATACAAATGATCCCCAATCTATTTTGTTGCGAAATGATCACCAAAAAATGTACAAATGATCCCCAATCTATTTTATTGTGAAATGATCACAAAAAATATATATTCGATCACCGAATTTATTATCAATACAATAAGAGATAGAATAATAAATAACAACT